TGAATCACATTTACCAAAGCAAAAATACTCCACGGATACTCAACCACTTCCTATTACTAGGGTTGCAATGGAAAGGGTTATTTCCTAGAATATTTGGAAAAAATTCCCATAGAAAGTTTTTGAGAATAGTCAGTACTACCGGTACCAGTAGTGTTCAGTGAAAGTTCAGTGCCTTTGTCTGTGCCTTTGAGACAGATCCTGGTAGGGTTGAAACGTCGTGCCCTTTAGGTCAATCGGATCAGTGGTTTGCAGCATTTCTTTCTTCATTTCTTTCTCAACTTTATTATGAAAGAGCTTTTGTATGTTTTGTTGGCAGCCGTGTGAAGGCATATTGGATAATTTATTGATTCAAAAGATACGATATCACATGTATATGTACACAAGGTATACATTTGATAGGTTTTTATCTTGAAGTGATGTGAGCATTTACATTTGTATCAGCTCCTGTGAGCATTAATCTGCTCCCAGGTACACTGGACATTTTGATGTGTATTGCAAGTATAAATTTATATCATAATCTCAATTTGCCATGTTGGTATTAACGTAATGAATATACAATTATCCATTCCCATGCACTGTTTTGTAAAATTTACATGTTTATATGTAAATCCCCTTCTCAACTGTTTCAATCATTAATTGGGTTTTCAATTTCTTACCTTTGAGCATTGAATACAGTGTTTTTTTTTGTCAGTTGAAATAGCATTGAAAAATGGAAGGAATTAAGCTGGGAAAGATTTCTATATACGAAGTTCACTCAACACGCTGTGTACAAACCCTATGAGATTGGACTGAAAAATTCTAAGTGTTTTCTAAGAAAATGCTTGTATTTTCTCACTGCTCAAATTGACTTTGATGACATGAAATTGCTATCTGGGGGCTTGTTAGTCAATACAGAGGAAAATTAGTGAACTTCGTATATGGAAATCTTTCCTTAAGCTGTTGGGTAAAAGTTTGCCAATGCATGCGCATTTGCATATTTCGTAATTCGCAGCATGAACTTGGCATTAATTGGCATTTGTTAAGTGCATGCATTACTCCTTACTGTCAAAATTTTATTTTTGTTTTTTCACCAAAGAAAGTTCCACCAAATTTGTCAATTTCCTGGTGGGAATTTACCAGGTTCAAAAGTTCCTGGAAAGTTTGCAAATCTACACCCAATACAACCTTGCCATGATCTCTTGACCACATTTTCTAGGTTTGGTTTCTATTCCATTTGGTTACATCATGGAGGAAAAAGTACGTGTGACCGCTATCTGGGGGGGGGGGGGTGGATTAAAGGGTATTATTGTACATGAAGTGAATTTTTCTTAGGAATAGACTTTGTGCAACTTTGTACTCCTCTTGAATGTATGAAAACTATTTGACATCCCTTTTTGGTTAATTTGATTGAAAAGTGCAATTCTTTAAACATTTAAAATTGTCCATGCTTTTCTGGACAACTGAGGGCGCTGTTGCTGTGATGTCATTTCAGGAAGAGACTGTTCAGTTCCGGGAGTTTCTGTTCAAATTGTGAACCTGAAAATAGGCTCATTGAAACCATTTTTGAGAAAAGTTTGCTCATTGGCTTACTGCCATGTACTGACACTACAACAAATCACCAAAGAAATGAAAATTCACGATAGCAAAATATCCAAAATTCTGGCAACTTTCGGTGCTGAATTAAATGTTAACATAGAGGTTTCTGCCTTAAATGACATCACACTTTTGCTCATGAATATGGAAACTCGCATTAGCACAATAACAACAAAATTGTTTCATTGTTTTCTTCAAAACGACAGCTTGCTAGAAAGAATAATTTCACAGGGAGTTTAGTCCCATTACTATCTTAAAACCAAGTATGCTTATCAACAGTTATTACGTCAGTTACTTTTTGGATAGGTGCAGATGATTGATTGTAGCTTTAAAAGGATCTAATTTGACTTTTGACATACTTGTACTTTTAGCAGCAACACCCTGAGCATAAATGATATGTGATCAATAATGAAACAAAGTTAACAACTGCCCATAAATACACTGTAACAGGCACATCTGGTTTATTGTGGATAATGTTTATAACAGAATCTTTAGTTTTGCAAAGCAATAAGCATTTCAGCAAAAGTTATTGTACATGTACATTATAAAACAAATAACTTATTACTGTCATCATTATAGCTAATCTATACTTTATACAAAAGCGAAAGCAAAAGTTCATTTCATGACTTTCGTAAGCAATGAAAGTTTTCTTTTTAGTGATGTTCATCCTTACCACAAAAAATTCTGTTTTGCTTTCAATTTCAAAATGTTCAAGCAATCCTAAGTGAACGTAAATTGATTTTTCAAGTAACAATAAAAAAACGACTGCGGAATATTTTCATTTGGCATCATTTGAATCATTAAATTCATTTATTTGAACCAATTTGGTTTCATAAAACAGCGCAGATTTCTGCATTCTTATTAACATAATTTGTCTTCCTTGAAGTGAAAAAATAGCATAAACTGAAGCAAGCAGATGCTTAAACTAGTCCTTATAATGAAATTAATGAATGTGTACCATTTCAGTAAAAAAAAAAGGAAAACAGTTAATCAGCTGAAACATGTTTATAAATATTATTTACATTACATTTCATGCAGAAATATACCTCAGTAAGTGAGCCTTTTGTTTTAATAAGGATCACCATTTGCATAGATGTCATTAATTTTTTGTGTGGAATGCTGTCGTTTTTTATGGAAAGCATAATTTTTTTACAGAATAAAATAGGCTAAAATTTACACTAATAAATACTTTAGGTTTGGCTTCTGATGTATAAAATCATATTTTGTGAGGCGTTCAGAGAGAGAGACAGAACTGGGCAAAGGACAACATGAGGGTGTGTAGGTATAAGGAAAGAAAATAACACTATCTCTACAGTGCTTTTTGTTGCACTTCAGTCGTACATTCCGTTGACAAGTTATGGCTGTGTAAAGCTCACATTTATTAACAAGTAAAAAAAAGTAAAAAACTAAGAAAACTAGTAAAGGCCTATAAAGTTTCGATTTTTGTCTTCGTGAGAACGACAGATGGCAACTGGTTTTCATTAAAAAAAAACACTTTCATTCTACATTTCTTATTCTATTTTTTCCCCCATTTTTCTCTACTACAGCATGTGCCCAGTTCCGTCTCATTTTTCCAGAATGCCTCACATTTGTGATACAAAAATTTATAACTGTTTGGAGTCGCTTTGTGTAAGGTCGATTGTTATCAAAGACCTGCTTCCAATGGACTCCGTGCAGGGACTATAGATGGCGCTGTGTAGCCTAATAATGAGAGCAGTCATGACAAACTGTGCGCACCTCTGTGCTCCAATCAAGTTTCAACTGTATTTGCATGGACATCTACAGGGTGTCTCCAAAAAAAATGTAGCAGTCAGTGAGACAATCCATCAATGTGACCTGCTTCACAAAAACGGGTATCAAGTCGCGTTGTGCTTTACCGTGTAATGGCCCGCTCAACGTTGAGAGGGTGAAAATTTCGTCAAAATGTGATTTTATTTTTTTGTCAAAAATGACGTCTTTATTACCTAAAGTTTCAGGGTTCATTCACAGAAATGTTGATTTTGATGAATAAATTGGGAATAAAACAACCATTTTGAGTGCATCGTGCCCAAATCTACAGCAGAGCCAGCTACTTCGAAGCCTGTTTCCTCAGTTGTGTCATTCGAACTCCAAGGAAGTAATTAATAAAAATACGCAAATACTTCCTATCTCCAGAACGGGAGGGGCTATGGAACTCTATTATATACCAAACTGAAAGCTTACGTTGTGGGCTTTCCAACCATGCATGTATATTTACTCAACCCTTTTTTGTGGAGCAGGTCACAAATATTAAGAAATACTAGCACTCTCTTTTTGCAAAACTTATCTACAGAGTCTGAAGGAGTAGTAAATACTCTACATGATTGTCTTTATCCAATCTCATTTTGACACTCCAGTCCAGAGATACAGCTAATTAAATGAAAGGACTTGAATTCCAAGTTCGGCCGCTTGGTATCTGTTGAAAGGCATTCACATACCAAGAGGGTGAAGAAAGTGGCCTAAACAGATTTTGACAGTCTTTACAAGCTTTGCCGTAACTTTCCAACAAGAGGTCCAAATCACACAGAACAAAAGTCCTGTCAATGGTGAAGAAGTACTCTATCATGTCTACAGTCTTACATCTCATGGTAATTTTTTTTTTACCAGAAAAAAACAAATAAACAAATTAGTTTCCTCAGCAAAAAAAAAAGTTGTTTGTCTGCTACAGTTTTTTTTTGAGATACCATGTATAGTGATTATTGTTAGAGAAGACTTTTGCTCACTTTTTGCAGTACTGTGGGCCTAGTTTGTGCACAGATTCAATGGACTTTTCAAAACAATTTACAGAAACTATATATACATTGGCTAGTAATCCGTGTTTGTAAATACAAGATTTGATTTAGGGAACTTTAAAAAAAAGTTTACTGTTTTTTTATCTCATTGCACAAAAATGTCATCAATGGAATGCTATTCATTAATTAAAAGAAAAGAATATCAAATGTTTAGATCATACAAAGTTCTAAAAGTTCTATTTACATGTAGATCTGAATTCTGAAACTAGTTTTTTTTTTGCAAAGTTTGGTAGACTTCTTGCCATAAAGCTCATAAAGTAGGGTTTCCAATACAGATTTGTTTTGAACTAAATTTCTTGTTTTGACAAAAATATTTGGTTTTTAGGGCACTGAGTTTTGAGTTTCATGTAACTCTTAAATCAGGCATGAGAATCTTCCTGGTTAAACAGGAATTCCTGGGGTTTTTTTGGTTGCCCAAAGTTTTGCGTTATTATTTGTTTTGAGCCTGTTTTGTTTTGTTTTTTTGCCTGATTTCACATCTTTTTTCCTGTCTTTGCACAAGTTTCTTTTTTTTTCATTGAAATTCATTCTCATGCTAGTTAAATGTATTAAAAGGTTGCATAGTTTGCTGTGGAGATTGTATAAAAATAACAGTTAGTATTTCCTTAAAATTAGAATGGACCCTGTCTCCAATTGGATGAAAAGGGTCAAAGTTGCATAGATTCTCTGTGGATTAAATGATATATGCAGACCAAATAGACAAGGATTTATGTACAGCCCCCCCCCCCTAAAAATACAAGCATATATTTGCGTAGAGAATATTTACCATGGAAACCACATCAGATATTAGATTCCATGAAGTCCCAGCTATTCACTCCTGCTATCGTTGGTGTAGTAATAGGTGATGCTATTTCATTGACATACACAAATCTCATCGTTTCTTCATTGTGCATCGGTGAATGTTCCTCCTCCTTGTCTGTGTATTTCTCCCCTTCTTCATCATCATCAGATGGCTCTTGGTAAAACCCTCTTTCCTCGGATACTCCGGTGTTACCTTTGTCGTTCCTCCTCTGCCTCCCACCGGCATTTCCGTTCGCCATCATTGGCTGAAAGGACTTCCCAGTTTTCTTCATTACGTCAAGCTCATACGCACTGCATTTTGGTGTGTCGCTCACGGGATAGGTGGCGTTGAACTTCGAGTAGTCCACGCTAAGCTTGTCATCTGTGTCCGCCATGGACACAACGTGGCTGCTGAATCGATGGCCCCACTTGATCTCTGACGGGAGGTAGGAGCTTCGCACCTGAGTGAGTAGCCCAGTCTGCTCCACGATGCCCTCAAGACAGATGACGATTTCAAACGAGTTCTCCAACAGGTCGTAGTAAGAGTACTTGTACATGGGGCTCTTTTCGTCTATGACGTGACAAATGATGAGAGGCCAGACTAGAAGGAGGTTATCCTCGCCTGTTGACGCGCCAACGTCTATGGGATAACTCTGAAGAGGGATGCATTCCTCCTCCTGGGTGATGCGCGGTCGAACCAGTTTGGCACGAATCACCGTGCCAAAGAGGTGACTGTTCCGTATATCGGCGACGCGGAACATGAGGCAGAGTTTGCCGTCTCTCTTGGCGATCACAGCATTGTGGCTGAACTTGATGGTAGCTGCGCGCTTTTTAGGACGGGCGATTTTGACGAATATGCAACCGACGAGGATGGCGTCGACCAACGCACTGAAAACTGACTGGATGACGACCAAGGTAGGTCCCAGCCAGCATTCCTCGGTGACGGAACGGTAACCGTAACCAATGGTCGTCTGCGTCTCAATGGAAAACAAGAATGCGCCAACATAGCTGTCCACGTTGGCCACGCAAGGCACGAACTCCACGTCATCGTGGCTGAGATATCCTAAGTCGCCATGCAACCAGGCTAGACAGTACCAAAGACCGCTGAATCCCGCCCAGCCGACAAGATAAGCCAGACTGAAAAACAGGAGCAACATCCGCCATCGTAAGTCAACGATGGTCGTGAACAGGTCGTTGATGAAATTAATGGTGTAAGACGCCTTAGTGTTCTGCACAACATTACAGGTGCCGTGTTTGTCCACAAGCCGCTTCAGTTTCCTTTTCTTAAACATGTTCACCTGGTGGATGATTTTCTGGAGGGACTTTTGGCGCATCAGGCATTCCGGCTTGTTCTTGGTCTTGGTTGGGCCACTGAAACTCTGGGACCAAGGTAGCGCCAAATTATCACGGTAACCCTCCTCCATGTCTACAGACACCGAGCAACTCAGACATGGTCTCATCGGCCCCGACCCAGCTGGCTGAGAAAACCGTGTCACCTCACACTCGTGACACTTCTTGGTTGTCGTCGGCGAGATCATTGTTCCCATCCAGTTGTGTTACCAACAATCAACAGGTTGTTCCAACTCCAAGAGTTTTCTCTAAACTCTGAAAGAACAAACATCAATGAGAAATCACCACAAAGTCCACATTTTATTCCCCGAGAATTGTCTTCTCACTCCAGTTTATATGAACTTCTGCACATATTGTTGTTGGGAAAAGGTAAATTTATGGCACTTGTATTGTAAGCGCTCAAGCAAACTTGAGTCCCTCTAACCGCATGGATAACCATGCACAGTGCTGTATGCTTTGTGAAACCCAAGCTTTTTTTTACGGCCCATCTGTTTTCTTCATTCAAACAGCACCAAGTGTGGAAACCCACTCTATAATTGGGGTCAAGGGGAAGGTCACACTCCATGGTTGGAGGTTACAAGGCGTGCAGACTTCAAAACTTCCTGACAAGTTTTTAGCTTAGATTTAGATTCATTCATTTATAATTACATAATTATTAAGTTAGGATTTCTTGCTTTGAAGTTTGTGGGATAAGAACAACAAAGTTGGCCCTGAGGAATTCTTTGTAAAATTTGCTATTAAATGTTATATAGGATTTGTTCATCAACAATTTTTTTTTTTAATGTTGCTTTAAATGAACAATGGGCTGAGACATACAACAATGAAGAACATTGTGGGAAAAAAAGCAAGAATAGCACAAAGCTTATTTGCAAGGATATCAGATTTTAAATTAGCATCAGCAGACAATTAAACTGTCAAAGTATTCAACAGTTATCCTTCAGAACAGATTTCCATTGATGTCCCTACTTCCTATTACTTACCAGTTTTAGCTGACCTTAAGCTGAACAACAGACACCGCTGAAGTTGTTGATCATCTGCTTACTCAAACCACAAAGGAAAAAAAACGTGTACACTATCGTGTGTGATCTGACAGGTTAGTGCCATTGCCAAATACGTGCGCAAGTGGTTTTCAGCGTAAAGGGAAGTACTTCATTTATTGGCTCCTGGCAAACAAAACTGTACAGGTACAGCTTTAAAGGTGTGAGTTTAGCAAAAATATAAGTGTCCCAGTTCTCCTGCATACTTGTGACCTTGGCAGGGAATTTGCTGTAAAAAAGGAAGAAATTGTTTGGATCTCTGATTTTTTATTTTTGTGAAATTGATTTGTCTAAAAGCATGAAAATGATATACACCAAAACGCAGATGGATGGCGGTGGGTAGTTATTTCCAATAACTTGCCATTTAAAAGATTTGCTATGTTTTTTTGTTTGTTTTGTTTTTTGGTTGGTTTTTAAAAGTTTTTTATTACCTCTTTAGATGTTTTCGTGGCTCTGAAAAAAAAACAATGTCCCAACAAAGTTAGCCACAAGTGTGTACATCGTAGGGACATTTCACCTAAGAAAGTCAAATTGAAATCAGATCTGTAGAATGATTGCTTTACTTCATCAGTATGGTAAACAAAAATGAATATTTATGATAACATTATGCCTAAATACCACACTTTCCCCCAAAAAGGTAAAAGTGGGACTTCAAAAAAAAAAAATTCAATCACGTACAGGGGAAATCCATACTATCACCCCAATCCCATGTTTTCCTATTAAGTGTAATTGTTCTGAAACTGAAAGCATGTATTTGCTAATGTACGTTCATGTACGTCATGCCAAACATCCAAGCCTTGATCTGATGAGATACTGGCTCCAAAAGAGAAAGCGGTAAACAGTTGAACAGTTCCACAAAAAGAAACAAATGATATTTAAGGCCTGTTTCCTGAGATTTTTTTTTGTTACGGAGAAATACGTGTTACATGTAAGTCCCATCAGCTTCAACTTTCTGCTGTGAACTTTATCAGGAAGACATTATATTTCCTTTTTCTGATCGCTGAACTCAACAAGTAATTTAACTAGAGTTTTTCAATACTTTTGCACGTACACCACAAAGAAACTTGACTGGAGACTGGAGGATTTACAATTTTGGACATATACTATGGACTACAACGTGGCCAACTTTTAAACTTGGCCTGCAAGTTGTCTTGTCTGTTTTCAACATGTCAAACTTTTACATTTGTATTAAACATGCCGTAAATTTGGGGACAACTTACAACATTTGCTTTTGCTGTATTTTTCAGAAATGGATGGATTGGGGATACAGCATTTTATAGCAAATATTGTATACACCAACCTGTTTAAAGATTTGTGTTTATAGATGCTGGGGAAAAAAGCAAGAAAGAATGCTATTTTTGCAGTCCGCTTCCCTGCCCGTACTTCAGACATTTAACAGGGCAATTTATAGACGTCGGGGAATTGTCGGGTAAAAAAACCCAGAGTAGCTGGCTTGCACCGTTTCACGGTTGTGTATTGATTGCAAACAAAATGTCAACTAACTAAATTTGGTAAATTAGGGGCAGTACCAAAAAGCCATTTTTTTTCCAACAATGATAGTCCGACCATCGTTGGAAATAAAAAAAGAAATACACTTTACTTGGAAATAACAGCACACCATGATTTCACATGATGGTTGAGACTATTGTCCACTAACAGTCGAGTAAGGTATTTCATGATAATTTGGTAGTTTTGTTTTGTGATTTTTTGCAACTGTTGTATACTCCCTTTAAACCATTTCTCCACACAACAAGTTTACCATAAAAAACAGTCCTTGCTCACTTCTTTCTCTCATCACTGTGCTTAACCTTTGCTGTGTCTTGCTGGCTGATTATTTTCCTTTCGTCTCGTACCCCACATTGTGAGGTTGTTTTGGGTCGTTTGGTTTCCTCTGCATCCAAAGTTCAAGCAGGAGTCCAAATTAAAGTGAATAGCCGCAGAATGAGTTATAATTCTTTTTGACTGAGTTTGGACTCCATTTCTATTGGAGTCCAATTTACTCAATTTGGCTCAGTTCCTTTGCTATTTTTGAGTTACAACCCAAAAAATAGATTTTGGTTTTTAGTTTTCTATTTCTCTAGCAATACAAAAGTTAGTTCACTTTTAAAGAAGTCATGAAGCGAAAAAATCCATGTGGGACCACTGTAAAGGGGTGTGTATTTAGGAAGGGAATAGGGTACCCGATTGAAAAAAAAAACCTACCCAGGTACCTTTTAAAGAAACCCAACCCCAACATTTAATTCTCGGGAGTTGCTGTACAAATTTTTCATAAAGGTCCGGTGTGTCAATATACAGCAAGATACAAGTGTACAGCGAGCTCATTACAAGCTTGGGCCAATTTCATAGAGCTGCTTAAGCAGAAAATTTGCTTAAGCACAAAAACGTCTTGCTTAATAAAATCAGGTTACTGGCCAAAACTCCAATGCTAATTAAACAACAGCTAAATACCAGTCACAAGCAATGTACATCACATGGAGTTTTGGCCGGTAACCTAATTTTACTAAGCAATGTTTTTTCGTGCTTAAGCAAATTTTTTGCTTAAGCAGCTCTATGAAATTGGGCCAAGGTGTAAGTTATTATTATAACTATTCGTGGATGGATTTGTTTTCGTTCAAATATTCCACAAAAGGAAACTGTGCAATATATCTTTAAAAAGTAAACAAAGATTGACTGTGGAGTGGGGTTCGAACCTGCGACCTCGAGCATTGTCGTTCCGGTGCTCTACCAACTGAGCTATCCAGCCCTATGTTGCAGCTTCCTAGGGCTGTGCATCAGAACCGGGTACCGGGGTACCCGAGTACCCGACTGCTGACGTCAGGAACCGGTTCCAGATTATGGAACTGACTTTACATAGTAATTAATAAATTCTCAAACATTGAAAGAGAAGGTTTTGAATGTCAGGCTGCATGGAAAAGCAACAGATTGACGTTTATGACACTTGCGAAAATGCAATTTTACGGCAGGACAACAGTCAACCCAAATGGAAAGCCTTTTTCAATTGGCCCACACATTTGTTAAAATTCAATATAACATGCAAATTGAATTTATTGAAGAGCACTTAATAAACTTTTAAAAATGTATGTGTTCACAAAATGGTGAGAACTGCCCCAAGCAATACAACATGACAATGTGGCTCAATCTGTTTTGATTTGAGATAAAAAATAAATACCGGTATATGCTCTGCAGCAAGTCTTCAAATTTGCTTTCTTTATAACTTCACAATTGCTTGTCGGAAGTGATTTAGATTTGGGCTTAATACATTCGCAAGTCTGGCTACATCCCACAAATCCTGCCCTTCACAATTAGTGTGACATTGAGAAATAAATCGCCTCGTTATACCTAGCTTCCTGAATTAAACGGTATCTCTCTTTTTGCTTTGCCAAAAGTGATTAACTGATGAACTTTATATACAAATCCAACCCTGCTAGAAGGTTAACATTAAGATTCTGTTTCCTGTGCCGGAGAGGTCTGGCAACTGATATTCGCAATGTACGTGGTACTTAATTTTCCAAAATCGACAAAATCCGGTGCTGTTAATTCCCCAACAGTAGAATGACTGTCCAGTGAACTGAACACATCCAATCAAAAGTTACACTCCTGCGAGTCTGTTGAGGGCATCATATCAAATCAGTTCCAATATTGTTTGAACTTCCTGTGAATTGTTGGCACGACATAGATAGCCATCCATGGATGATGTTTTCCCTTCACCTGATATCTTCCATCAGAACTTTTTGGTAGTATCAGATCCAAACCAGCCAGCCTCCCCCTCCCCGGGCCCAGCTCAGTGGTCGAGTAAGCGCAAGTATAAAGCAAGAGGTCGTAGGTTCAAGTCCCACTGAGAAGCTTGCAATTTGTTCTTGTGAGCACCAAGTGTACAGTGTTTCCAGGTCAACCCCCCCCCCCCAACAAATATAACTTTGGAAAGTAATTGTTTGTGGTATCTGCTGCTACATGAAATTAGACTCAAACTATAGTTTGCGTCTGCACTAGTAAGTCGGAAGGTTCAACTTCCACTCGATAGAGCTTGTGCTTCTGGACAGCTCTTTAGATACAGTTCTTATTCGACGAAGGGCAATACCCTATAATGTATATCCCCCCCCCCCTCCCCCAACCAGGGGTTGAACTGGGGTTATTTCTAAAGGTAAAATTGTTAGGAGAAATATGTACATGTATGTACTTCTTCGAGAGTTTTTTTTACAAAGACTGTTGAATCTGCTGAAGGGTACATGTTCTTGAGAGAAAGTGGAAGAATTGTTTGGTTGAAAATATAATGTACTTGGTTAATATGTGTGATAGTCCTTTTTAAGGTCTAATCGATAGCAGGAAAGCAACTGGAATTTTTGCACATTAAAAATATCTATAAAATTGTCACATAGTTTGCAATTACGAAGAAAATTCTGTTAACTCGTCCAAACCAATAATCAGAAGACAAGACTCAGTCATGCAGCACTCCAAAAATGACGTATTTATTGCTACATATTTCCTGTAATCATACATGTAAAAATACCTGTACACTTTCTATCATACAAGAAGAAGAATCTGTAATTAGATCTAAAGTACTTCAAACAGCACATGTACATGTACACGTACATCGTAATTGCATAAAAGGTGCCATTGACAGCAACGGCCCCACTACTCCCTTTTTTTTGTAAAGGAGTACAATGTCATGTTCATTGGCTTGTTTGCTTATTTAAAATTCATCAGTAGTTGTTAAAAAAATTCAATTGAAATCGATAAATGTGAAATAAATTGTGAATTACGATTATTCAATTTGTAAACATAACGTTGGTAATCAAATGAAACTTTTAAAATTACAAAAGCTGCTTAACCGGATTTCTAGAGTGATAAAAAAAATTCCTCACTCATCAATTTCACAGTTCACTGTTGCAGTTTTGTTTTTGGGGTGAGCTGTATTTTTTACAGCTTAGCATACTTATTTTGTTTTGCTAATTATAATAAGCTGTCAGCTTTTCTCAAAAAGCGAGTTTCAGAATGTCAAAATGTCGTATCTCACTTAAAATAACCCGGATGTGCACACAAAGTCAATGGACGTCGAGACACGACCTTGTTGCACAGAGCGCATTTGCGCGAGATACGACTTTGTTGCAGAATGGAGTTACAACCTAGTTGCACTGATGCGACGATATTTTTGTTTTTGTAAGGGCATGCCGCAATACCTGTAAAACTAAAATCCTTCTAAACTTTAATTTCCATCACAAATCACCCTGATTTCCGAAGACATTTCAATTTATACAACAAAAACTTGTATGTACTCACATCTTCTACATTGGCACCCAGTCGTGCAATTGACAGTTTTTTGTACTTTTGGATGTGGATAATAAATTTTACAAAAACATGCTTTTTCTCAGCTCTATCGTGCATTTTGAGTTAAGTGACGTACGTGTCATTAAAGATTTCTGAGGAAACATGAAATTGAAACATTGAAATAGTTCTCATAATGGTGTATAACAAACTGAGTTCAAACTGGAAAGATCTAATCTATATCTAGACACACACAGCAACCACCACCCACAGTGTTTTCTTGCTCCGAGTCAATGCAAAATAAAGTCATATTTTGCCCGTCCCAAAAACATTTTAGTATTTCAGTGAGACATGGGGAAAACACTCAGATAAAACTACATTACAATTAATTATAAAGTTTACATCCTTATGCTACAGCTGCACATGTGTAAGGCGCTGTAAGTTTCAACGTACAACCTTCCTTTTATAAATAGTACATGTATTTACAATTACAATTATTTGGCTTTAATAAACAGCGATACTTTTTACATTTTTTGTCCTTCATGGCAGTTTTTACAACTAAGGCAGTTTTTCAAAAAAAAAAGTTCTTCTTGTTCTCTCCAGTGATGTCATAGTCTTTCTTCATGGTTCCTTGGTGCTGGATTTGATGAAAAGTCTGAAAGAACAATAAAAACAAATTGACAAGATGAACAATTACTTGTCTGCTAAAGATGTCATTGACTGTTTTTTTTTATAAGCTTGGAAAATGGCAGTTCAAATATAGGGACATGCATTTTTTGGGGGGGCGGGGGGTTGCTTTGGTAAGAGTGGTTGATATTCACCCTTTATTAGAAAAACTAAGGTTTTTTGTTCTTGTTCCTGAGAAGAGGTGAATTCTCTCTCCCCGGCAACAGATTGTTGAGGAGAAGAGTTTTATTTTCACAACACAAGCGCCCAACCCTTTCTATTTTTTAAACCAGCCTAGTAACGTGTGACATGTTCCCTTTGCACCTTCAATTCTTGTCTGACCCCACAAAGTTTGAACATCCTTCAAATTGTTGATTTTGAGATTAACGTTTTTTGACTTGGAGCTGATTGCTCTTGTCTTGTTCCCCAAGCAGAGAAACATTTAGATATTTTAAGCAAAGAAAGAGTTTCAAAGCAGCTGTTAAGCATCATGCCTATAGTGCCCATAATGCTTCGCCGGTAAGCATAAATATGTGCTCAGCATATTACTGTCTATCTGCTGAGAAAGTTGAATTGTTTTGGCCCCATCCTAATCCTCACACTATTATCAGTCCCTGTAGACTTTTGGCAGGAAGCCAAAAGTGATGACACTGCAGATGTCCCAAATGTTTGAGCTGATGCACTGCCCTTTGTTTGGGGAGGGGGGGGGGGGGGTTTAATCCATCAATGGATGTTGAATAAGCCGCCCACGAAGCTAATCAATACAAAACTTTTGAAAGATGCAGAAGTTGTCAAGTTGTCATAGTCAGGCTTACATGTACGTGTAGGATACAGAGATGGCATTTGTTTTGTAAACATACAAGTGTACATGTATACATACATCCATGTGCTTATACAAAATTGTAATCTGATTTTTTACGATTCATGGATTAAAACTATTTTTGAATAAACACAAAATCTTACTGTACTTTGCTCACAATTTTCTTTAATGGGTATATCCCCAAATTACAAGGCCAAGAGTTACTGAAGCTTACGGTGTATGCTGCAAAATGTAGAAAGGACAATAAAGAATGAAAAATGTTTAAGTGACAAAAGTTATCTGTCGACCTTTGTTTTGAATTGTGATAGGTATTGGGTAGGGAGTTCAACAGATTTATAAACAGAACAAAACTGGACAAATTTCTCACACTGGACGTGTCGTTAGGACTGTAAAGTTTACTGGATGGATTTTCAAAACTATTTTTTTATCATGATGATTCACCATCAGCATTTCAAGTGGGACAGCTCTAATTCCACATTTTAAACTTATTTCATTCTGTTTCTGATCTAAGCTACTTTTGTCTTTCGATGGCCACATAACTCAACTGTATCTAATGCTTAAAAATAAGTACATGTATTGTTCATTTGATTTGGTCCCAATCCACAAAAAATGGTGGTCTCAATCCACAAAAATTGTGGTCTGTTTCAGAAAACCAAATTTTAGAGATTGTGTCTTGTGATGTTTCTGCACAAGACAATCAAAAACTTAAAAACAATCTTATTTCAGCTGCCTGTAGTTTACTTTAACTAGGGGGTTTATTTTAGGAATTTAACTCCTCATTTTATTACTCATAAAATGGTATACATGTTGTCTTATAGAGTGGTTTATGGCAGCAGTACTATACTGATTTTCTTTATAGATACATCTTAAAACTGTTAATGATATGAGAGTCATTCTATACATTCATCTTGTACATTACTGGAAAACTGACACACATGTAAATTTGTGTAAGTGTAAGAAAATTAAATGCATTGATTCATTGCTTACAACTCCAATTTGACTATATTCAGTATTTTATAAAACAAAGCTTGAGATATTTTATATGTTTTCTTTTAGTTGTCCATCTTTTACCTCCTAAAAAGTGTGTAGTCCTACAACCCTTTTAAATATCCCACTGCAAGTACATGTACATATAAATACATGTACCTAACTGTTAACAGTTATTTGTTGATGAGGTTCTATTTAACACTGTGACAGGGCACTGTGTTCAAAATGCCTGTGTCAACCTGTTAACAAGCCCAATCAAGTGTAAAGGGCTCATTATAAGAACCTTTAGAACTCACAAGAATGGTCCGGTCAGTCTTTTTTTTCTTTATCAAAGCAGAGTAAAGAAGCTCACTTTAACAACCGACCAGCCAACAAAAGCAGACCTTTTCACTGAACTGATTTTTCACTTCAGGGCATTTTCTGAAACCTTGTTTTGGAGTTTTGCACCCAAACAAAATTTGTGAGAAGTTTCGTTTCTGCACTGTCAGAGCCTGCTCGCGGAAGTGGACCAGAAAGTAATGGGATTTGCAACAAAACGAGAAGTTTTGATCAGATGCTTTGGGCCATAGAGTTCATGCATGCACACGAATACACAGGGCCATAGTGCCACTTGCAAAAAAAAAAGAAAACTATCAAGCTTTGGAAATGCTTGTAGCAAAACAAAATTTGGAACAGGTATACTTGAAAAAACTTACGACTATTGGTACATGTAAGGGTTTCTAATCTTGTACAGTTGATGATAATTTGTTCACAACACAATTGTTTGGTTGTTATTGGTCCTTGATTCCGAATCTACATTCATGTGTCAGTTTTATTTTGTTGTTATTGACTTCTGGGTTTGTGAGATATATGTACTGAGCACTTTCTTTTGTTTGTAAGTCCAAATTCCAAAATATGTATGGTTTGTAACAAATTCTGGTACCTGTAGACCAGCCTACAATTCTGTCTCTATGCTCAGACTCATTGACTGTGAATTGGGCTTGGTTGAAAGGTCGAAGAAGTGAATTTTTCTTGGGAACATATTTTGTGTAACTTTCTACTCCTCTTTAATGCATGAAAACTATTTGACATCCCTTTTTGATTAATTTTATTGAAAAGTGCACTTCTTTGAACATTTAAAATTGTCCATGCTTTTCCGGAAAACTGAGGGCACTGCCACTGTGATGTTGTTTCCGGAAGACAATGTTCAGTTAAGGGGTTTCCCGTTGAAATAGTGAACCCCAAATTTGCTTATGGAAAATATTTGTGAGAAAAGTTTGCTCATTGGCTTACTACCATGTACTGACACAACGAATCACCCCAAAAGAGAAAGTGTTCGACAGCGAAATATCCAAAATTCTGGCAACTTTTGGTGCTGAAACACCTGTTACATTGAGGTTTCTGCCTGAAATGAAATCACAGTTTTGCTCATGAATATGGAAATTTGCATTGCATAAAAACCAAAAAGGCACCAAAATACCCTTACAAATGGCCAAACAAAAATTGAAGATAGGGTTAAATTTGACAGAAAGTACCTTTCCAAGGATTGCATTAAACAAATTACATTGCATGGGCCCTGTAAACCTCACTTTTGCAAAAAAAAATTGACTCGGATGACTACCTATAGACGCCTTACACCAAATTGGTATGGGACCCGGACCACCCCCCCCCCCCCCCCCCCCCCCCCCCCCCAGCTTTACTAGGCTTGTCTATAGTCTTGTGTCATGATGAGCTGAAACAAGTTGGTAAAATTCCTGTCATCAACATTGGCAGTTTCACTAATTGCCCACCCGGTATGTAGGTATACGGTACAAATTATGCATACTTCCTGACACTCAGCCACTTGTAAATTTACTACGTTATTGATTGGCCAATGAACACACCTCCAGAACTATTCAAAATGCACAATGGACGGTCTAACGGCTTCATCATTAATAATTCATTCAGTTGCATAAGGGTCCTTTCAAAATATACTTTCTGTAAGAAGCTACAATGTGTAATGGCTGTTTTTATAAGCAGGGCCAGTGAACGTACGGAACGACAAAAGTACAACATTGCAAAGATGGCTTTAAATTTACGCGTTCTGTATTTGGTAGTGTTGCAGAGAACTAACGTTACATTTGTAATGTATGTCAGTCAGTTTTATTCTAGGCACCGTCTCAAACAAGTACACAAGTGGAAGATCGGAATGTTTAAACCCTCACCCACTTTGCCAGGAAGTTTTCAGTGTTCTTTTTAATACCAAATGGCACATTATTTTCCTTGTATGAAACAAAATTTGGATTTCAAACGCCATTTAATGGCAGCTTTGGCTCTGAAAATGATGAATCCTGCAACTATATATACACACCCATCAACCGTAAGGACACAATACTGGCAACCGAAAGTGGGACATTACAGATCTGAAGCAAGATGAAAGCTGCATGCTGTTATTTTTCTCTTCAATTGTTGGGGGAAATAACAAAGTGGAAAACAACATTGAAAAGATAAGAGGCAAAATGTTTTTAACTGCAAAGCAGATTATAATGGTATTTTTGGACAGTTAACCTAAGTTACGTGGTGTCCACTTGTGCATTCTTCTGCAAGTATCGAACAAGGCAATTGTGGGCTTCTTGCAGTCTTGTCAAGGTATCCATTTGTTTTAAAACCAAATTGAGGAAAAAAGCTCGAGGAGAAGTGGGTTTATTCATTAGTAAGTTGACACCGTTAACGTTAAGGGGACATCCTTAAAAACATACAGTAGTGACCAAAAGTTACGCAAGCACAGATTTACAGGAGGCCCAGATTGCACGAGTTACATAGTGGTTCCCAACAATTAAGCGGAGATGATGTTAAAAATGTGCCGTCTTGAAATCCCCCAATTCATGACTTGTCATTTTGAACCGTTAAAGGCCAGTTTTGAAAGGGTGACATACACTTGACATGTCTTCAAATTAAATGTGACTGTGTACTTCCTTGTCAACTTATTTGAAGAAAAAAAACTGCAAAAAAAAAAATAATAATAAGGACGAGGTTTCAACACTGGAAATCTGCGTCACCTGGTCATGAGTCAAGCCAATTATGTATGCAAATGAGCTAGTTCCGTCTGCAAGGGGAAGGGGTGCTGTGGCAACCTGCTGACGATAAATCAGTTCCTGTGAAGGGACAAGTCTTAAAAGTGAAGCAAAAAGCTTGATTCTGTGCAACAGGGACATCAGCAAATATAATTACAATGAGTAATTTTGAAGCCCTCTGTGGCTCATGTTGTAGGCCATTAACCCCTCCCCAATTTACCTCTTCCCTCCCCTGATGACCTCATATTGTCCCACCTCTCCCCCCCCCCCAAAAAAAAAATCCCCACAAGACGCAAAATATCTGCGTAAAACCACAAAGTTGTTGACCAAATTCAATGTTTCCTCTGCTCCGACAACCATCCCGGACAAAAAAAGTCCCAGTCATAACATGATTACTGAAAGGGTTACATGGCAAGGAAATCTGAGGTCTAGACCAATTAAAAAGAACATGTGCACAGGAACAGTGCCATTGAAGAAACTTTGCCAGACACAATGATCTTGACTCCATTCCCCCCCCCCCCACCCATGGGCGTCGCCAGGATTTTTTCTAGAGGGGGGCAAAAAAAATTTTTGCCAAAAAATGTTTGTACTTCTCAACACATTCTCGATTTATCGTTTTAGAGGGGGGCAGGGACATTTTGCCCCCCCCTCGCGACGCCCATGCCCCCACCCCCACTTCCCCCATAATTTTATTTTAATCGGTGGGCATTTTCACAAGTAAATTTTTCTTCCCATTCAGCTACTTGACAAGTCATGGTTAAACACTTTTCTGAAAAAAATAAGACATGTGCATACACAATACATGTATAATTTACAGTTGTTGAGTTCTAGTTTAAAAAATGGGATCTAGTATTAACTATTTAAGTAGATTATATTTGGACATAATCACATTTTGTGCATGGTTTTGTCATACTACACCAAAACAGCTACATGTACATTTTTGGTGGGGTTTTTTTGGGGGGGGGGTTTGTTGTTTTTGTTTTTGTTTTTCGGTTTTTTTTTTTTACTTTGCAGGAAAGCAAAAGTGAAGTGAAATTTATGACTTACAAGTGAGGTTTCACTGTGGTTTTTACTGAAAACACAAGTCGGGTTTTATTACCTCTGTCATTTCTAAACAGTGAATTTCACTCTGTTTTGGTGGTTTATTTTTTATTTTATTTTTTGGTTTTTTTTTTTAACTTTGCAGGAAAGCAAAAGTGAAGTGAAATGTATGACTCACAAGTGAAGTTTCACTGTGGTTTTTACTGAAAATACAAGTCAGGTTTTATTACCTCTGTCATTTCTAAACAGTGAATTTCACTCTGTTTTTGGTGAAAACTTACTCTATCGGACTGAAAATAGGAAAAGATGATTTGGAGTGAAATTCATTCAATCGAATTGATTACGTTTTCACACGATTTTCAACTGTATTGATTCTTAAATTACAGTGATTTCTCACTTTAAATAGTCTGGTCCCTCATTCTACCTTTTGAAAATTACAGAGAAGATAAATGTAGAAACAAGAAAAGATGTTTTGTGACTGTAGACCTATTTTTGTGTAATCTATCCAAAGATAATCTTTAGTAGAAATACATCATGTTCCCAGGCCCTCTTGCTGTTTGGAAGGAAATGAAGATCACTCTCCGTTTTCCTCCTGTAGTGAATCTACATATACTGATATGTCTGTATCTCCTATTGAGAATTTCAACTCCACAAATACATTCATTACATCTAACTTATACTTTACTCCCCCCCCCCCCCCTCTCTTTGGTCCCCTTCCATTACAAATCTACATGTTTTCCCACCAATGACAGGGACTAGCAGAATTAATCCACGTGTCTCAAAACTAAGCCACTCTGAAGGTTTCAGGAAGACCCTATTAAAGTATCACGTCCAGGTGATATTTGTAATGCTGTGATGAATGTGAATCATTTTTATTGAAAACATCAGCTGACCTGGCATTGTCATTTTAGAGCTTTATGCAGTCACGACTACCAATTGGACCAAACTGTTGGTGTCATCCTCCTTAAAAAAAAAAATGAGGGACAATTTTTACTCCCCTGTTGCAAATTTGGACTTTCCTCTTGAAATTATATTCCTCTCCTTCAACCACAGGGAAAGAGTTCCATACCTGGACATTACTTGACACCCTGTGCCTTCCTTTCTACAATAAATTGTCTCTAGGTATTTTTCATTCTAAGAGAACTTTCTTGTTAAATAATGACACTTCTAAGTCTAAAAACGTTGTAGAAGTTGTTCATTCACAGTGAAGTGTTTCTGGAACCAAGCAAACTAAGTAGGTTTCTGAATCTGACCAAACATGATTTTTTTGTAATTCATTGATTTTCCTCTGAACACTTCCAAGACTTTTGGAGTATCCAGTCCTTCAAAAGCACAAAATCCATTGAACATCTCCCTCCCCCTCCCCCTAATAAGTGACTGTACAGTGTAACAGCTAGTCTTTTGTATTCCTGATAGATTTGTGTGGACTTACTCCTGGAAAGCAGTCACTTGACGTTAGGCTTAGTTTATAGCCCAGGATCCAAACACAGTGGTTCGTTCCTGACTATGGCAGTGCTGTTGTGGCCTGTCCAATCAGATTGAGCATTACACCTGGGCTTTTCCAAATTAGGCAACTGCAAGGTTTGTAGAAATGAAACCACATTTGGGAGATAAACTAATATCTGTACTTTCAGACACAAATTATGGCCATATTCTCCTTAGAGGTGACATTTGTCAGTATATTTTCCCAGTTGAGGGTGTCGAGAGAGAAGCAAAAAGCTGCTAAAAGTACTTGAGTGACCTGAATATATAATTTTAAGATTAAAAGGCCATATTTTCGGTGTCTTGATTGAATTGGCAGGTCAAGGATTCTATATTTCAAAATGTGAAAAAGTACACATAATTGATAAAAGAAATATTAGAATTGAATTTTTTTTTTTTATTCTGAATACCAAGCATCCGTAATTGTACTGGCAAAGATACGGTAGATTTAAAACTTTTTTTTTTGAAAAAAAAAGAATATTAGGTGTTGCTCACTCACCAGCTCAACTGAAACATCTTTAATTGGATTCCCTTTCTTGATAAGAACCCTACAAGCATCCTGTGGCATAATTAACCCCTCCCCCAGCGGATGTTCGTGTGCCTCCCCTGCCCCACCCCAAATTTGAAATTTTGAACTGAACAAAAATAATAAGATATTTGTCTTCAGTTTCCCCTTGACAGAATTGTGCACGTCCAGGTGCCCCCCTAGAAGTTTAATCCTTATTACGCCCCTGCATGCAACTGGTATAATTGGAAATGTGTGATTAGTTTCTTGTTTTAATCCTCAAGCCTAACCGTTGGAACTGGTTTCACCTATTAGCAATGAAGAAGCTGACAGCAATTTAATTCCAATTAATTTGCTGTACCCCTACTTCCCTTAATCAAGAAGGCGTACATGCACGCAGCATCATTTAATGCTTCATCTGATACCGGTCGATCTTAATTGAGGTAATCGTTGACTCATGACATGAATATGTAAATCTGCAGGTTAATCGCCTGCTATTTGTTAGTATCTTTCTAATTAAATCTTTAATTTAATGAGAATGAGTGAACATGATTAAAAAAGGCAATTATTCTCAGTTTGTTTTGAATACTTGAAGTGTGAATGTTTATGGGTTTCTAAAATTTTGTGGGAAAAAAATGAAACCGTTCACATATTTTTTTCCCATCTTATATGTGACTGGGTAAAAACAAAGGGTTTTGACCAAAGGGTCAACAATTCAAGACAAAACATTGCTCCATCTTCATGTTATGGACAGAACTGTCCTAACTGCACAGTAACTGTTAATGGTCTTAAAAACTTCACAGAAAAACTGCACTTCAACAGTATAGTCTGTTGAACATACAATTAAAGTGCCAAACATGGCAAAACTTCTACCAGAATAAAAGGCCAGGGTTGCTAAAGAAGCCAAATAGATTGGAAATCAGATGACTGTCAGGAAATCTCCCAACTTATTTTATTTAGAGTTTCATGCTGTACTACAGCCTATGAGGTAAACCATATTGGTGACATAACCTGGCTTTTTTATTCGCTTTTTTCATGGTGCATTGATTTTTCCTGACTTTAATATTTTCATGGTGACTATACAACGAACTTGTTAGAAGAAGTTAAAATTGTTAGTGAGATTAAATATGAGACAAGAAATTGACTAATTACCGTGACTATCCTGCTTCATCATCAGATTCGAGACTCCACATTTTCCGCGTCCCTAAGGATGGGCGAGGACCTCCTGATTATTCCGCTGTTCCTCCTTGATGTCCAGACGCTATCTCTGTCCACCTCCCTATCCTCTGCCTCTCTCATCTCATCAACCTCCTTGGCGCTACATCTCGAGAAGTCCTCCGATTCCCTCATCATGTGGAACCGCTTCATATCCACAAAGTGACAGTCGTCTCTCACCTCCACCATGTTCTCAAACTGGAAGCCCCACATGATTTCGTCCGGGAGATAAGAGGTTCTAGCCTGGGTTGTTGTGCCCGTGGCTTCCACGATGCCTTCCAAGATGGCGATGATTTCAAAATCCATGTGCCGAAGATGATCCCGGGAGATGCTGTACAGAGGACTTTTTTCATCAACGACATGGACAATCTGAAGTGGCCACACCAGGAAGAGGCGATCTGCACCAAATTCATGGCCGATATTTAAGTCCAGGAATTTGAAGGGGATCACATTACCCTCTTTCGTCACATAATGACGCACCATCTGAAGTCTCATGTGACCCTCAACAATGTGGGATTTTTGCCGCAGGTCCCCAACTCGGAAGGTGAAGCACATTTTACCGTCGAGTTTCGTCATGCAGGCATAGTGGCTGAATTGGAGTGTCTTGGCCCTGGCTTTGGGTCTGGAGACTTTGGCAATGAAGCTTCCTAGAATAAATGCCTCAATAAAGTTTGCCCAGAGAGTGTGCACAATCAGGAAGAAGAGTACTTCCCCGCATTGTTCGGTCGGGCTTCTAAATCCAAACCCGATAGTGGTCTGTGCCTCGATGCTGTACAACAGTGCCGACTTAAAGTTTTGAAAGTTTCTAAAGCAAGGCTTCCACTCTGGGTCATCCAGATGGTCAAAGTCACCTCGGGCGATGGCGAGTCCATAATAGAGAACAGCAAACAGAAGCCAGCTCGCCAGGAAACCCACGATAACCATGAGGATGTTATATCGCCACGGCATGTCGACAGTACTAGTGAATATGTCTTTGATGATCTTGCACCAGCGGCTCTTAGACATGTTCTCATACTGGATGTTGCAGGTGCCGTCCTTCTCGACAAGTCGGGTGCGCCGCTTTATCATCTGCGAGGAGCTGGTGCTGTTGCTGACGTTGCCGATGCTGATTTGGTTTAAGCTGGCGTGGTTGGAGACTGGATGGTGGTTGTTAGCTACCAGCACTCTCATATCCGTGTGGTTGCAGTTGCAGGTGCTGGCGTAGCTTGTGTTGAGAGATTCGGTTGCCATTTTTGTTGTTGTCTTTCTGTGTTGTCTCTCTGTCTCCACAGAAAAATCAGTCTTCAGTTTGCCACTTTGAAGATGAAGCACTTTTTAATTTCAAATAATTAAACAAAGAGTAATCCAGTTAAATATCTCTCTCCAGAGTGCTTGGACTGTCAAGGACACATCTGCAAAAAGAATACCATAGTTCCATGAACATTTTGAAGTTCAAAGAAATATCTTTCATCAAACTGGTTAAGACCCATAGCCACATCACCATCCAGGTCCCACTGTTGAGATGCTTAAATTTAAATGATGCCAAATTATTGATTTTCTTTACAACCTCTCCACCTATAACCAGTTCTGAACTCTAATTTGGAAACTGTTTTAAAAACAGAATTTACTTCCAAGAATGCACAGAATCTATATAACACTTACCTTAACTGGATTCTACCCTCCAGAAAGAGTATTTTCCTTCCAAGATCAGCAAAATATTCCAAAAACCCTCAGAAAATCTTCAGAGCGGCGGTTACAGAAAGCAAAGTATTTTAATTTTGAAGTGGTATAGTAACTGCGAGCCCTTCTGGGTTATACCATTATCAGACAAAGGGAGCGACGTCCTATTCTTCTTAACTGCTTCAACCGGTAGCTGTTTGTCAGCAGGTCATCTTCACACAATGAAACCTCTAAGACGTAGAGAATAACCACAAGTCATCCTTTCAAGCCTTACAGCAAGAAGTCCTCACACTCCAAAATGGCTTCAAATTGAAATTCTAAACAAAAAATTTTGCCCATCTCAAGAAACACCATCATCTGCCAACACACCCCTGCGCAGAGTTGCGGTGCTTGTTTAACTTGCAATTAATTTTTGATGAGCAGTTTGTTTCGCAAGCTCCCAGATGGACAATGATTGGGGCTCCAGTACAAATATCCCTACTTGAAAGGAAAGTATTGATTGGGGGGAGCTTGGACCGTTAATACCTTGGGGCACGGAGGAGCTGTTTTCAAACACCCAGTGTGCCATCCTCTTACAGCACTCACTGATGGTATTTAAATGACCGGAGAGGAGGATATGAGAAGGATCTGGAATCCTATTGGCTGATAATCAGCTTATGAGGGATGCTCATTGTGTCTGTGTCTCTGGGTCTTGAATACTTCAAGGTAACAAGTCTGCATACACAGAACCCCTATACATGTAGCGGTAGATGGTCTGAAATGTCTCATGGCCTGGGATTTGAATAATTCTGCCTGTGTCTGCATGTTGTGTCCTTGGGCAAGTTACATTTGGCCAATATTTAAGGCGATCGTCGTGTCTCCAAATGTTTCTGTTTCTTTTTATTGAGGTCTATACATGCTGTCTCCAGAGCTGCCCCTTACTTCAGTATCAAATTATAATTTGATAAAGTCAGCTGTTTTTGGCAGATTAGTCTAAACAAATCTACAGTTTGTTATCGATGTTCAGTGTCCTTGTCTGTGTTAGTCCTTCAGTGTCACTTGTGTTTGTAGTTATTCTAAAAGAAACTTTTGGTAAATGCCAATAGTAGAGTCAGAACTGCTTTGCATCAATATTTTGCCAATGTTTCCCAATTTCTAAACCTCTTCACAAATTCTTCTGATTTATTCGCTCAAATCGCCCTTGGTTTACTTTGGAAATTTAGTTGACAAATATTTCCACTCTATGGTTGGTAGCCACCTTTAGAGTCATTGCTACAAAACCCCCATTGGGTTTTAGATGGCCCTCCCTCATATTCATAACACCCCAAATATCAAATTCGTTAAAGAGCCATTTTCCCCTGAAATTACAGTTAAATAAATTTTCACGGATTTTTCAACATATTAAGCCAGATTAGGAGTCCTTGAAAACACCTTTAAAAAGTCCTTTGTTTACCAAGTGTACCGTTATGTATAACTAATGATAATCCTCAGTGGCCAGGGTCATTATAAAACCGTGAAAATACCCTTACAGGATTAGTCCTATATACATGTAAGCCCCATGTAAATGTCTGTGAAACATCTCTTAAAGATCTTTTCACGGAGAAATGGACTTTTAATGAAAATTTAAAGGATCAGATGTTCATCATTGTCGAAATGCTGCTGTGAAGTTGAGTTGAATAAAACCAAACTTCAAACATAACCCCAACTTCAAACCATATTTAAATATAAGTAGATACTTTATTGTTCAACAATAGGAGGGACTTCTCTACACAAGTTCCATTAAAGGGTAACATTTTCAGTTGCTTAGGCAAAGGAGTCCATTGCAGAGCTGCACATAAAACCATGATTAGAAGAGGCCAGGGACTGAATAAGTTGAAATTGAGGGAAGGAACTAAGTTTTGCCAAATAAAATTGGATCATTTAAAAGTATCATTTATTGGTGTCCACATGACTTAACCGAGCACTTTTATTCCCAGTGTCTTTACATTCAATTCAAGTTCTCGATTTCTTTCTGTTGAATTTAGTGTATTGAATGATGAATGACCGTTGTTGAGTTAACTGGTTGAATTGGACTTACTCTATTGTATAAGACAATTAATTTTTTACGTGTAAATTTATTTTTAAATTTGAGATTTCAGTGCTTTTTTTTAGTTTTACTCTAAAAATATACTTAAAACATTCAAGTCATTAACCTTTGAATGACATAAGGAAAAAATCCCCCAGTGGTATGTTGTGGCCAAATATACCAATAATTAATTTCCAAAGCTTGAATTATTCTGGTACATCTGTTTGTCCTTTTTTGTGATACATGTGCAAAAACAACTCAAATGTAATTGTTGCAGAGGTTCGCAGATGCCAAAAATAGGGGAATTTTTTAATTGACTTATTTTTTAACGTAGAACATTCAACTTGAAATTATATTTTCAGGAAGAGAAATCGAAATGTGTTGGAAGGCATGGGGGAGGGCAACTTATAACCAACAAATATTATTTTAACAAAAACAGTTTTTTGTGAGATGCTGTAAAACAAAAATGAGTTAAAATTTTCGTTTTTGTTATGGCTGTAAAAAGTGAAGTGTGGTTTTATAATTTTTTCTGTGCCGTTTGTCAAAAACTTTTAGGACCAGTGAAGTGTTATAGCGCCCTCTTGTGAACAATCTTTTAAGTTAACCACGTGTACCGGCTGCAAACTGGTTCCGGTCTCTCCAACAACGATGAACTCCTTCAAATTGATGGCGGGAACCAGTCTTGTTAAGTAATAGTTTAATGCCGTGCGCATTATTTGGTCTTTTGCTATTTTGCCATACTCGAGGTGAGACACGTCGAAAAGTGACTAGCTTTTTACCGTAATTTTCACGTAGTACCTGGAGTTTTTCATCACCAATACATAATTTTGATTGTTGATCAAATGTATAAGAACAATTTGACCGGAGTGTGAAACTCGGTCATTATCACAAAAGAGGAAAAAACTACAATTTTTGTTGGTGATTGTGTGGCTTCATCGTTGTTGGCCTGGCCATGCGGTGGCTGCATGCATTCGCCGGGGGTCAGACAAGTCGACCGTTGAGACAACTCGACTCGGGACAAGTCGACCGTTGAGACAACTCGACCGTTGAGACAACTCGACCGTATGTGCGATAAATGGAAAGACAAGTCGACCGTTGAGACAAGTCTACCGTTAAGACAAGTCGCCTCGCATGTTTTTGTTGCTAGTTTTGGGGATAGTCGCGGGGATTTTGACGGCGGCTGATCGCCGTTTGGGAGTGATGACACATGAGTTGTTTTTGTTGTTGGATATAACCATGATAACAGAGCCGATATAGCGCAGCCGGGCCTGTGCGCGCACTTATCCCCGGTCGGTCAGCGTCGGCCGTACCGTGCACGGTGACATCGTTTATGCCGGGCCTGTGCGCCCACTTGCCGCCCCGGTCGACGTGCCCGCGTGCCGGGCCGTGTCCGGTCCTCGCTGGCGGGGCGCGCCGGCCCGACGCGACGGCCACCGGATTGGAACGCCCTCTGTGCATCAAGTATGCCCGCGCCGCGTCCGGGATCGCAACTTTTTCCCGCTCCACGTGTATACATTTCCGTTAAGTCGAGCTGTCTCAACGGTCGAGTTGTCCCGAGTCGAGTTGTCTCAACGGGCGACTTGTCTCAACGGTCGACTTGTCTCAACGTTCGACTTGTCCAGAGTCGAGTTGTCTCAACGGTCGACTTGTCTGACATCCCATTCGCCGCTGGGCGCGCTCACGAGCACGTGCTGCCAGCTGCCAAGGCAGGGCGCCAATATCATGTACACTCTTAAAAATACTGTGAATATTGTCAACTCCCCATACACTTTGAACACTCATGAAGTGGCTAGGGTTACTGGCATTATTAGGCAATGCTAGGCCTGCATTCCTTCTTGCTTTTAATTTTTATGAAGAGCTAGAAATAATGTCAGGAATGTTGCACATCTCCGATTTTTTTTCTCCAATTCGTCCTGCCTTTGAAAAAAAACTGTGAAAACTTTTCCTTTTACTAGTTTAATTAGACACATTTTGATGTTTTTTTCCCCGTAAAAAAAGTGAACTTGTTCTTCAGTGCAACGTAAGTTCATGAGTTAGGCCTATAACTTATATTTAATATTAACTGATAAACCTCGTGGGTCATGCTTCATTGCACTCAACTTCTCAAGACCAATCAAACTCCGTATCCACATGGCCACTCCGGGTGAAACACATTGGACTGAGACTTTTTATTCATCCTCCCCATTCAGTTAACGCTGTAGTAAGTGATTCCGTTCGAGTTTTTTAAAAGAAAAATAGCACCTTCCTCCCCCCCCCCCCTCCCCCCCTTCCCCCTATCTGACTCGCTCCCACTCAGTTTCGGCATAGCCAATCCTGAAAATTTTGACTTGAAGCCTTTTTCCGATGGTGTCCACTCAATTTACGCTGTTACTGGTGTAATCGCTTTGGAAGAAAATTGAGCCCTCTTTTTGTTCTATTTGACTCACCCTCACTCCGTATCCAGGTAGCTACTCCGGGGGGGGGGGGGGGGGGGGACACTTTTGAAACTTTTTCTCTAGGCCTACATGTAGCTCCTTCGATTGGGTAACCATTGATTTTTGGGTGGTTATTTTCGAGTTGCGGGGTATTCTGCAATTACTCTCAGTATTCCACTAGATCAGCTTTTTCCCCCCTCTTTTTCTTTTTACAGTTCTTTTTACAGGTGACAAGTGTTCTGCAGTGTTAAATTTCACCTTTTTTTCTTACTTGTTGCAGCTAATTAATATTTATTTTGGGGTAAATCCAAGGAAAGGCCCCCTTCTTGTCACATACGTAACCCCATCTTTTCTTTAATTACGTAATCATCGCAAAGACTAAATAACATACAAACTCTTGTTAGTATTCTCCTTGCAGATGCCCAACAGGAGCATCAAAAACACTGAAGTCCATAAATATCTTAAAAGTGTTTAACTTTTGTTACGTATGGGACATATAGTGAGCTTGATTCTTGGACTTGCCCTTTTTTACAAGTTGTCTATGCCAGTACATTTTGTCAATGATGTCTAACAGTGACCAATAAAAGTTGATAGGCCCTAAAACACTTCCCAGAATAGTGGTGGTGTTGCGGACACTATACTGCTGAGACAAAGAATTGGCTGGACATTATTTGTAACATTTATGCACAATTTAAACTGCTGAAGTATTGGAGATGGTTTCATCAGATGACACAAATTTTTTATTTTTTTTTCAGTTTTCTCCCGAGTTGAACAGCAGAAGGAGCAATTTAAAGGTATTGTTTGATAATCAGTGGATAATGGAGTTTTTATTTAGTAGTTGTAGAATAATTGCCTTCGGTGATGTGACGATGACGAGGCTGATTGGCCCCTCCTGTTTCCGTGGCAACTACAGTCTGGCATGTTTTATGTTGGATTGATGCATGTTGCCTGGTTGCAGTTGTGGGCCGGTACTTGTGATGAAAAGTGCGAGGCATTTGTCTGAGAAGGCTCACTATAATTTTTTCCCCACTTTTATTTTGTGATAACGTCAAGGATGTAACATTTGAGTTTCAATGATGTACTTTTGTTGCTATTTTCTGAAAAGATTTTTTTTTAATTGCTGTTTCTAGCAATACAGAAGTTGGTCACTTTTCAGTGAAACATTGAAGCAAAAAAATGGCACACATTTAATATAGCATAATTTCTTTACATATTTTGACTTTAATTATGTTTTTCTTCATCTTTTGTTTTGTATGCCTGCTTTTTAGAAAAGGAAGAATGGCACAAAGTCTAGCACTGTCCACTGTCATTTGCTGTGAATTGCTTGACTGCGGTTGAAAGCTTCAAATGATCAAGAAATCACGGTGCATAATCTTTAGCGAAGATTTATTTCTATTGTACAGGTCAGTACGAGTTTATATTTTGGGATCTGGGTTTAAAAAATCATATAACTTTAAAGGTGGCCACCACAAAAAAAATTCAAGATTGTTGCGTACATCATAAACAAACATCTGAACAAATATTATGAATTTTGAAACGTATTTAATTTTGTAATTCAAGGTCGTTTCATTACAGTTTCTCTGCACTTCATGTTACAATTTTGGATTTATTTGATTAATATGGAGGCTGTGGTTGATGACGATTCACATAAGTGCGCACAACCCTCATAGTATTCTGTAGTACTTTGTTTTGAGGGGTTGGAGAATAATTGCCTTCGGTGATGTGACGATGACGAGGCTGATTGGCCCCTCCCGTTTCCGTGGCAACTACAGTCTGGCATGTTTTATGTTGGATTGATGCATGTTGCCTGGTTGCAGCTGTGGGCCGGTACTTGTGATGAAAAGTGCGAGGCATTTGTCTGAGAAGGCTCACTATAATTTCCTTTATTTTTTCCTGTTTGTTTTGTGATAATGTGAAGATTTGACTATCACAAATGTAATGTCGTTGCTATTTTGTGTTTTCAACTGGAAAAGATACTTTTAATTGCTGTGTTGCTAGCAATACAGAAATTATTCACTTTTCAGTGAGACGTTGAAGCTAAAAATGGCCCGAATTATTTTCAGCCCGACAATAATTCAGATGGCGCAGGGTTGATAATGTAAGGATAAGGAACCTGTCTACTTGCAAGGCAGATATGTATACATGTTCGCAAATGCAACTCAACCTAAAAAACCTTTCTCAGAGGGTTGCTGACAACTTAACATACTATTTGTTCTCTAATTTTTTTTTTTTTCATTGAAAATAAACCATACAAGTTTTAACAAACTCGCTTGGAAAATAATGTAACATTTTGAAGAACATGCATAGCATGTCTTGAATTGGAATTTAGTTTGCATCTTTTGTTTTGTGTGCATGCTTTTTAGAAAAACGAGAATGCCGCACAGGCTAGCACTGTCCACTGTCACCTGCTGTGATTTACTTGACTGCGGTTGAACACTTCAAATGATCAAGATGTTGCAGTTCATAAACTTCAGTGAAGATGCGTTTCTGTTGTACAGGTCAGTAAAGTTTGTATTTTTTTTTGTCTCGATAAGTAGTAAATTGTATAGGGGAGACTAATTATCAGTTTATTGAATTATTCAATTTGTGGTTTTGGTCATTCTGTGATATCTTTAATTTAAAGAATTTTTAAAAAAATGAATGATAAAGTCGTAGTATATGAGATTTTCTTCAGGCTGTTGTCGATGACGAATCACTAGACGTTACCAATCTCTGCAATAGGATGCTTTATCCTCATCGATAGTGCATTCTGATGTAGACAACAGGACACCACCGAGACAATAGCCAAACAATTGCCACATTTTAATTTCCGTGAAATTTCATGTAAGTATCCGTTGTCTAATGTAAAAATCAATGTCTTTTTTTTTTGGCAGAAACCAAGTCAGAAGCTGTTACCACATACATGTACGTGAAGAAAGCATCTTATTTTGAAAGGTATCAATGAAATTGAATCAGCGTGTTATATATTTGTAAACTCACGTTAACACCTCCATGTACAAACGTGTTTGCCAAGAAAGATTTCTGCCTTATTTATGCTACAAAATAACATTTTTGTTGATCCAAAACTGCCTGGAGGATTTTGGAGGATTGAGTAGGGCTAGTTTTCACCTCACTTTTTGCTGCTGTTGTCGATGACGATTCACCAGACGTTACCAATTTCTGCCAGGGGTGCATGATCCTAAAGGATTGTGTGCATTCCAGTGTAGAAAACAGGACACCACTGAGACAACAGCTGTGAAACTAATTCATGCGTTGTGCCAAAGTAACTGAATGTTTTCTTAAAATTAAGTGACTTTTTCTCTCTTTATTTAGCAGGGATATTTAGCCAGTGTTGATCAGCTGTGACAATGATGGACCTAGCTGTAAAAAGATAGACCTTATGTCTTTCAAATGGTAAGAATTGAAGATTTATAAAAAAATTTTTTTTAAGGTGGCTTCATATATAGTATAAATAATGTTTGGGTTGAATTTGATATTGATTCACGTTGTGGTTTACTTGGATTAACCCTAACTCCCTGGACCTTTTTGGCTATAAGAACCATCCTCAATCCTGCAAAATCCCGGAATTGCCACCATGTAAACATTTGATTCAGCCTCAATCCTCCAAAATCATCCGTTATCTCTTGAATTTGTTCAGTGGAGGGGTGACCATTGCCTCAATCCTTCAAAACCCTCTCAAACATCACTGTAATGGGTTGAGGCAGTGCCGATGACATTCCAAAGCAGTGCCAATGATATCAAGCAAAAATGCAGGACTCAATTATGCATGGCTGAACATAACGCTGGTTACAGCCTACGAACTCGACACAGTGCATCCTCCAAAATGAACTGACGCTTTTTTTGTCATTGATACTCGATCTTCCAAAACCATGTGGAGGATTTTGGAGGATTGAGGAGTTTTTGGTTGAAAATATCTGTAATACCTGATTGAGTCTGTGATGCTATTAGAAAGGTTATCCAGTTCAGACAAATACCTTAATGGTGATTGTATGAATTCATATCTGAGACTCAATCAGATTTATCTCAGTGGCAATGGAATTCATCTTCGAGATGACATGAAATTGTCCAAACTGAAAATGTGAATCATATTTTTTTGTTGTAATTGCAGAGAAGAAGAGCCTGTAATAGTGCAAATGGGTCCAAGTCATCTCCTGATCTGTTCTCCAATTGAATACTGCTGTCTGAATGTGGTATGTCGTGGACTTTTTTGTTATTGTGCACATTCTTTATGGGTTGGTTTTCCTCCAAACTTGAGGCGACTTTTGATGTTGCTTAACACAGCTTGCAAATGATGACAGAAGTTTTTTACACCACATGTGATTCAGTGATCAAGACTTCCACCAACGCTGATGCAAGCAAAAATTTCTTCAGAACTGTATTAACAAATAATGTTAACTGCATTTCAAACTCATCTTACATTCTGGCTAAAAAAATATTCAAATTGCTCGGTCATTGCCTTCTTGTATGCTGTTTGTCTTTATAAGAAAAATGACTCTGTAACTTATACAATTTCCCTTTTCCCTCCATAAATATGTAGTTCACAGAATGAATGCGAACCACGGCCCTTGCACCAGGATCTTGCAAATACGTGAAACTGCCAATTTCAACCATTTCACCTGTGGATATTGGATTATGAAGGTCAAAGGTCAGTGTTGGTATGCATGTCCCTGGTTTGCATCATTCTCTGATGCAGTAGTAGTGACATGGTCATGTAGGAATTCAATTTCTCTTAACTTTGGGAAAACTTTCATTGAAAAGTTTGCTTGTGTGATGATATGCCCATATGACACCTCTTATGTAAGGGTCCTAGTCTTGTGACTAGTTCTCAATGAATAAGATATATTCTGATGTAAGCAAACACCATGTCACTTGTCTTAAAAAAATTTGCCTTTGATTCTAAGTTTTTTGGTGGAAAACCCACAGTGGTTACCAATTCGATTTCTGAAAGGTGCAAGTTTTGAATACTCAATTGACACTTTAATTTATAATATCAGTTGACTGCAATGAAGAAAATTCTAAAAACAAATTTTAAATGATCACACTTTTTTGAGATAATGAACAAAATGTATCAAAAATTGGTGCTACATGGAGTTAACTTTATATCTCTTTGATTATTTTCAGTTTGCTGGAGAAATTCACCCAATACAAATTTTCAGGTAAGATTTTCAGGTAAAATATTTTGCCGTTCTCAGCGAGTCAGCAGAGTATCCTTGTAACCTGACTGACTAGCTCGCTGACTCCTTGACTGACTGTCACTTGTGACGTACACTGTTCCGATACCAGAATCACAGGGCTTGCCTATTTATGTGTGTTATGTAGCATCCTTCTCCACAGGCATTTAGTCTGGCGCCACTGGATTTGTGTACTTTCATGATACATACATATGTACGAAATAAGTCGAGTCTCCATGCAAACGGCTGAAATGGATTTTTCGTTTCCATACCATTATCACTACCAGTAATACTCGACGATTTTTCTTGTAAAACACTGTCATCTAACGCTGGTTTGCTTGTAAGTGATGATATACCCTAGACACCTCTTATGTTAGAGTCGCGGCACATCTGCCCGACTCGATGAATGGAATGTTCTCTGATACAAGCAAATAAAAACTTCGTGAAGTTCTTTCCCTGGAAATGTTCTGATGAAAATAGCCTCAATTTTTATGATGTGGGTTTTACGTTAGCTTTTCTTTTTCCTTTTTGTTCTGTTTTATTTTGTTTTGTATGTAGATCCAACAACTAAGAAACACTCTCTTGACGGTGGACACGTCAACCTTCACAAATGACAAGGAGCAAATTATTTCGTTTTCTTTCGTTTTATTTCTTTCAATATCTTTTAAATCACTTTTATCAACATGAATTTGTTTCGGAACAATTACCCTTCTGGCATCTAACAATCCGTTTACCATGGCATCAATAAGTTGGTTATTGAATTAAAAAAAAAAAATTGCGAAAAAAAAAGATTACAAAAACTTAATAGTATGGTAACAATTTGAAACATGATTTTAAGTACAGCACGACTATTTTTTAAGTTGATGGCCAAATTTGGGGTAGAAAACACCCGATATAAAAAGGTTGCTATGCATAATGTGCAGTGATCATGCAACTCGTTAAAAAATTTACAGCACACAGTAAGTACGTTTTGGAGATTAATGAGAAAAGTAAAAGAAATTCTATACAATTTACAACCTTCTGGCTTGATCAGTGCAAGTTTAAAGTTTCGTATTAACAAATTCTTTTACAAAAAAGCATATTTCTGTTTTCTACAGTACAACAGTAAGTTATAGTCTGTGTCCACTTTAACATAAATTTGTGCAGTTACAAGAACGCAAATAAAAATATGTGTAAAACAATGTACATTATGTTCTATTTTATTTTTTTTTGTCTGTTTACATGTTAAGAGTGAAAGGCTAAAACATATAAACAAAAAGTGAAATTGTTCACAGAGTTGTGAATAAATTTCAGTTAGTTTATTTTTACTGGTTTAACTATTCAAAAAGGTACATGGCATTACAAAAATACAAAGGCAAGTCAACGAAGTAAATTTATGGTAAAATCCAAAATATGATTAATATAATGTGTGACTCTTAATGGCTGGTTCTTAAATGACTTTTAAGCGATTGGTATTGGGTGGGTTTTTTTTAATTGAGCTTGAAACCCAAAGGAGCAAGGGATTACATGCACTTCAATCCACAAATTCATGTTTTTGTTTACAATTCCAACCGCAAATGGCCTGGGCTGACATTAGAGGAGTTTGAATTGTTCAACATTTTGGACAAGTTTCATGGGTATGGTAGGGGAGGAGGCACTACTGCCTTGGGCACTGGAGTTATTTACAGTTCAATGCAAGGGATTTTGTCATTGCTTTAACCCTAACGTGCCTGAATCCATCAAAATCCACACCCCTGTTTTGGAGGATTTCGGTAGATTCAGGATACCTCCATATTGAAAAAGTTTGGGGGGATTTTGATGGATTCAGTACAGTAAGACTAGCGGTACTGCAGGATTTTGATGGATTCAGGATCTTGACAGTTAAACTCCTTGGCTATATCATGGTGCATACATGTACGAGGTATATGTACATGTACTACAATGGTGGATTGTGATGGACTCGGGACACAAACATTTTTTTTGCATGACAAAATTGGTGGATTTTGGCGGATTCAGGATACTTTCTATTAAAAGTGCTCAAGGGGTAAGGGTTAAACTAACTTCAGAGGAATTTGGAGGGTAAAGTGCATTTGTCTCCAAGGTAATCCCCCCATACACAAATTCAGAATAACCTCCAACAGCCAAGGGTTAAATCAGATACTATTGAGGGATCAGGAACCAGCCTTTTTGACCGGCTATCAAGTACAGTCGAGTCTCATTAATACAAACTTGTTCGGACCTAGCCAAAATTGTTTGTTACATGTATATCAGAATTTTGTATTAAGAGGAACATCAGTCCCATTCATTGTGCACATAAATGCACAGTCGGGACCAAGGCTATGTTGTTATAACCAGAATCTTGTATTAACAGAGTTTGTACTAATGAGAGTCGACTGTACAACCCAAGTCTATGGAATGCATGTAGTGGCTTGCAGACGAGCATCTATGATATTCGCCCAGATTCAGCGATTAATTATGCAAAGCAAAACCTGTCAAGATTCTGACCATTCAGCGAGGGCCTTCTATAGGGTCTTGCTTAACCTGTTGTACTATAACAGCATGGCAGCCAAATTGACCAATCGGCAGCTTATAGTCCACCTTTCTGATCGAAATGTTCACATGGTCACATAACATTTGCATGCTAGGATATATCAGACATTTTTAGTGTGGCTCTGCACATGTGAATGCCTGATCCTCGGACCATGGAGGAAGAAACCATGCTCAGACTAGCAAAACTCTGCCTTTCTTCTGTCAAAGTCCAATGAGTCAACACACTCCATGCCATTTTTGTATTAAAAACTGCATAATATTGCATATTCAGATGCACTGAAAGGTGTATGGAAAACTGCACACATTAACTGCCTTTAAGGCCAAAAAAAAAAATATTTGGTCTCTGGTCAGACCAAAGTTCCGGAATTGACGCGGCCACGCGGCTTTTTTTTTTTTTTTTTGCCTTTTTTTTTTTTTCTTCAAGCTTGGATTGTACAGACAAGGTGGGTAGTATTTTGCCTTTTTTGGTGTCCTCATGTACATTGGTGTCCTCCATAATTTGCCTTGGTGCTTTCGATCATTTGCCTTGGTGCAATTTCCCATTCCTTTGTGCTCTTTGGTAAAAAAAATTTGAGGAGGGGCGGAAATAGAGGGCGCTTTTGGAGCTACCGCGGAACATTTTGGAGGGAAAAAAAATCGACGCGCATGCTTAAAATCGACGCGCGCGCTGACCAGAGACCGACTTATTTATTTTTTTGGCCTAATACTGACTTGTCAAAATGTACAAAATCATATTATTATGGAGCATATCAAGTGCACAGCGGGAAAAAGGTGTAACTGAGCTTACTTCATCTGAGAGGCAAATAAAAATAGCACCATAAAAAACAAATTACAAAAAACATCTACTCGCCCTCAGATGAGAATATTTTTATATTAAAAAGAGATTATAAAAACTACAACAAAAACTGAGTTGTTCAATGAGGTTAGGTTTCCAGTCTACTGTCTAGGGCGCACTCCAGGCCATGCTAAAGGTAGGATAGATCATTTTTCATTTCTGCATTTTTTTCGTTTGAAGCAACAAAAGTGCTCAAAGGCTAAAGATGGGTGCTTAACAACTAACCTGATAAAAGTTTTAGCTCTGAGAATGCTGTTTATTTCAAAGAAAACAATATTCTAGCATCTCGGTTTCAATTCAAAATTTGCCGAGTCATGATTTGAATTGAGCCCGAAATCGGCGTCTGACTACTAACGGAAATTTTATTAAATGCGTTACTTGACGCATCTTTGGAAATGAAGGTGACCTTGTTTTGTTCTTTAAAAATGACAGCATACCAGAAAGAATAATTTCACAGGGAGTTTAATGCCATTACTATCTTTACACCAAGTAAGCTTCTCAACAATAAAGTTTTGTCAGTTACTTTTGGATAGCTGCAAATGATCAACTCTACCTTTAAATATTATCTCGTTTGTTGTCTTCTAATACCCTGCTATCCTAACTATTTCCATGCTAGAGTGACAAACAAGGTTACAAAATACACAGTACGGTGTCAAAAAGCGTAATAAAAAGTACGTTGTCAAAAAGCGTAATAAAAATGCTTTAAAAAAGGGTTGTATATTTTTAATTGAAAAATAAACTTTTATAGTGTAAAAAAAGCCTGACAAAGTAACACAGGAAAAAAGCCTGCTTTGAAAAGTTAATTACATTTTATAGGCATGCATAGTTTTTTGGCAATATTATAGCAGTTTCTCCTGATATAGAATGGAAGAACATCTATATTCAACTCAGAATACATTGTATTTCTAACAGCTCAGTCTTAAAAACAAGTTAAGATATTTTTACCGTTCTGAATAAATGGCACTTTTTTTATAGTATAGACACATATCTGAGGCATTTCTTTGTTACGCATGAGTAGACAGATTATACTTTCTTGTCACTGAATTTACATACAAAAATTGCCCTCTTGAGAAAGCGCACTGTACAAAGGGTTTATAAACCACAGTTTGGCAATCTCTATCACTAATTTCAACTGAAGATGGGGGCAGCCGAAAAGAAGGAAGAACACAACTAGAAAATACTGAAAAGTTCATAGAAAAAGGCCAGTTCATACTCCATGCGAATGCGATGCAAAATTTGACGTCAAGAAGCATTCGCTGCAAAATACATTGAATTGAAATGTGTTCAACTTTTGCGAATTCACTGCACGAAAACTTCCCCAGACGTCGCAAGTTCGCGTTCGCTTTCATACCGATTATGAACCAACCTTTGGTCTAGCATTTCTCCATCCCCCACACATAAGTACATTCAGTGTAAAATTACCCTTAGTCTTGGCTCACGACTGGATTTTGTTGTTAAAAATAATAATGATAATAAGTTTAGGATTTATATAGCGCATCTCCATAAAAAAATCAATGCTCCTTTTTTTCCCCAAATGCAGCTGGTCCCAATCCCTAGCGAGCATGATCAAGACACCACAGCAGTAGCGGATGCTATCAAGAAGATGAATCAAATGTAGTCTTGGGAAGTTTGGCACTGGGACCCGCAAAATTCTGAGCATACTTCACACGTGTGATATTACCGGTATGTAGCTTGATTCCTCTTGTTGGTAGTACTGCGGCACTTGTCAAGGAGCAGCTGCATTTGGGAACAAACTCAAAAACCAGTCTTGGACTAAACCTACTACGCTCTTTGCTCAATATTAACCTAGATCACCTGTTATTCTTCCTAAACTTTTCATCCCCGTTTTTCCCCATGTAGGAAGTCCAGCTCTGCTTGTCCGCCGGCAGAAACCGAAAATGCTCCTCCAATTCTTCCACATCTACCTCCTCCCTACTGACTCCTTCGCTCAGCATGACTTGGTCGTCCTCCAACCTGACCCAATTCCGCCTCATGATGGCGCTCTTCAGGACCAGCCTGTGGACTCTCAGCCTCAGCTTGGTGGTGAGGTAGTGGGAATCCTCGTCAGTCAGTTGGGCCATTTGAGTCTCGACGTAAACGTAATCCAGGTTGCCGTCATTGTCCAAGTCACCAATGATACCTGGCAACAAAAAAGACACTTTTAGTTTAATTAATAGTTGGAGAAAATGTTTTAGTTTCCTTCCCACCAGAGTTGTAACGAGTCACTGTATTTGTGACTCGAGTCGAGTTCAGTCATTTTAAGGAAGTGACTCGAGTCGGACTCGAGTCGGACTCGAGTCAAGTCATTGGCTCGCGTCATTACAACTCTACTTCCAACTTGGATAATTTGCGAATCCCATGAAGGCAACCATTTGGATTGAGGTTTCAGTCCCTTCGTAAGTTTCCGGGATTCTCCTAAGATTCTTCTCGAGACCTTCAGGTAGTTTTCTTGTATATCTGAAATACCTCTGAATATTTTCCAGGAATCTCTCAAGGTTTGCCTTTAATATTTCTGAGCGTTTCCTTTGAATATTTTCGAAAGTATTTCTAAAGGCTTCCTGAAAATATTTTTGTGTATATCTCTAGAACGTTTTTTGAGAATTTCCCTGGAAAATCTGTAAGATTATCCTTGAACTTTTCGAACATTTCCCTGAAGAGTGTATATAGTGTCCCTGGGATATTAATTCTACAGGCTTCCCTAGAATATTTCTGAAGCTTTTCCTTGAAATATCTCTGCTAAAAACCTAAACCAGAATTTATTTATTCTATTGTCACAGATGTCTTGATGTAACTTCCAACCCAATAGGAATCCTTGGCATTATCACCAGAAATCAAGAGATTGGCTTGTTCCTATTTTTGCCGGACTTAAAAAATGGAATGGCCAATTACAGGACAGACAGTATGAAGTTCTAAGGTAATCGACCAATCCCAGGGCAGGATCACTGTGCGCTCATGAAGTACCTCGGTAATCGTGAAAGCAGTTGTGTTGGTTCTATTCAAAATGAATGCCCAAGACTTTTTTCTCAGAGCAGTGTCTGACACAGTTCTCCAACAGTTACTGTGATACATGTACCCCCTATCTACATGTATGGTGGTGCCTTGTGATGGAGGCACTGTGCCGGCACTGTTCAAAATAACTGCCCAAGAATGTTCCTCTGAACAACAGCTGGCACAGTGCTTCCCCCATTACCAAGGAGCCCTGTGAGTGTTCGGTCACCCTGTACCTGGATTGGATAACACTGGTATATCAAGATACATGCAGCAGCTTTGTTTGGGTAGCTTGCTGTCCTGAAAGTTTGTACAAATGTAGGACAACTACATGCATGAGCAAGTTCAGGCAAAGACCATGGTCAACAATAGTTCTATAAACTGCACTCGGACGCAGGATTGTTGAGCTGCGCTCGTCGACTACTTAACACCACACCCTAGGTACAACTGCATAATAGCTGCGCATATCATAATGCACAACAGGGAGCCAGAATCAAGAATTTTCACAATGACGTACTGAGTGTCATCTAACAAGAGGCAGTCGCAGGTTGCTATAATTAACCACTAGTCGACTAATTGTCCTCACCTGAACTTGCTTTGCGTATGATGTTTGCTTTCTTACCTGTTCCAAACAGACTGGGTTGGTAGACTAAGCACAAGTCACTTTCAGGAATCTCTCTCCTCCTACGTAGCAACTTGCCCCCTTCTGGCCCTGATGCTGTTGACGTACCTCCTTGTTTCTGCAATGCAGGCTTCGACGGAGTCTCTGGCTTTTGTGGTGTTGACGTTTCTTGGTCTGCGACCATACCTAGCTCTGTGAAAAGCTCGGCCAGATGTGTTGTACTTTGATTGTTATTTGTGATTTCCTCTTTTGTCTCTATGTGCGATTCCTCAGAACTATGGTTTGTGCCCTGGCTTACAGGTAACGAAGTGGGTTTATTTGTATCGGTGTCAGACTTGTTATTTGAACTACTGGTATGAGTTGAGTTGACAGCCAGTGGAATACTGGAGTTGACAGCCTGTGGACTACTGGAGTTGACAGCCTGTGGACTACTGGAGTTGACAGCCTGTGGACTACTGGAGTTGACAGCCTGTGGACTACTGGAGTTGACAGCCTGTGGACTACTGGAGTTGACAGCCTGTGGACTACTGGAGTTGACAGCCTGTGGACCACTGTTGATTTCCATTGGTGGAGTAGTGTCATCTAGAGAGAGTGTCCCAGTCTCTGATTCCGATGTACTTTGTTGCGGATAGTCTTCAAATTCTGTTGTGGGGAGCTGTGTGCTTTGTGTAGCAAGTTCACTTGCAGCTGTTGCTTCCAGACTTGATGTTTCCAATCCAAGAGTCGAAGCTGATGCATTGACATCTGGTGATGTAGCAGTTTCTGTAGCAGTCTGTGAGCCCTCTGTTGTCACTTCAAGCAAGTTTGTTGAGAGATCAAGTGGTGTTGTAGTTTCTGGCATACTCACTGTTGTAATTTCTTCTCTTGGAGTGCCGGTTGTTTCAGAAGTCGTAGATACCCCACTGACTGTTGTTTCTAATGTTTTTGTTGTTGTTTCACTATTTGTACTCATGGGTGTAATATTGTCAGAACCTGTACTGAAAATTTCATTGGTTGAATGCACACTTGAAGTTTCAATGTCGTTCACTAAACTAGTTGTAGATGGGGTATTAAACTGAACAACTTCACTCACACTAGAAGTCTGAATTGCTTCTCGTCTCAGAGTTGTTTCTTCAATAATTTCAGATGTACTCATCGCGGCCCGTGACTCCTGCCCCTCTGGACTTGTAAGAGCTTTAATTGTGGACTCGAGCCCCTCTGGCAACGTACCAGCCTCAGTACTTGGCCCTATTTCCTCTGGAATTGTAGCAGCAATAGTTGTTGGCTCCAGCCCCTCTGGCAATACCACAGCCTCAGTTACAGGATCTACGTCCTCTGGAGTTGTAACAGCATTAGCAGAGGTAGTCATGTGACGGTGTAAATCGTGTCTTGCTAGATCTTCCTCGGTCACCATTGCTTTGGTAGGCAGAGGAGCCAATTTGCTGGGAGGAGTCACATGGGTGTCAGGTGGTACTGTTTCCATGGCGCCAAGATCTTGGTCATCATGCAATTTTTCTTTCAAGAGGAGTCTGTCTTCTTCAGTGAGAGCTGGAAAAGAACGGAAAGTTACTGCTTGGTGAGCTTGACAACTTTGGTGAACTTTTGGAAAGTGGTAATAAGTAAAAATCATAGAATAGAGTGGGTGGATGGTTAAGATGTCTGCACTTTGTAAGCAGGAGGTCCTCGGTTTGGGGCCCACCCAAGCAAGCTTGAGAATTTTTTCTCACAAGCTCTTTGAAAGCCCTGGATGAACAGTGCTAAAAATATGTAGGTCATAACTATGGGCCAAAACATGTTGCCATTCTCTAACTCTATATCTCAGTATGCTATTTAGGCAGTTAGTCTTTGTGTGAAGAACATATACACATTGACTGATAAGAATACATAACACTGTGATAATTAGTAGACCACTTACAGTAGTTATACTTGTAAGCCTCAATAGACGCCAATCGTAGAGGCTTCAGAGCTAGATCCCTGTCTACCAATAGCAGATCGGCATGGAAGACGTCCGTGCTCAACAGACACGGTTGCTCTGGGCCCATTTCCCCGTGTCTACGTGGACGTCCTGGGGGAACCGATGAATCCACACGCCCCTCGGGTCCCATCTCGGATCCCATATTGGGTCCCATATCGGGTCCCACCTCGGATCCCATCTCGGGTCCCATCTCGTGCCCTGGGGGCTCCAACTCTTCTCCCGTGATCTCGCCGCTGAGCCCCTGTGCCCAGAATATGAAGGCATCTTTCCGACCATAGGACTGGAGGGTGAGGGGTGAGGACATGACGGGGCCGATGCTGGGGGTTTTGAGGTACCAGAGAATCTCTCCATTTCTGCCATCCAGGATGTAGACCTAGGAATGAATGAAAATTAAAAACCTCAGAAACTGGAGATACTTGCCATTATAGATGATTTCGGGCACGTGAACACTGTACAGGCCCACTTGGCAAGCTTTTGCGCAAAGCTGTTGCCTCATGACAAATCACCTGAACAATAGCTAGCACAATGCTGTCGTCACTGAAAGGGGCCTCCATGACAGAATTGATAACATGCCTGGATTAGTCTACATCCTACTTTTCAAATTGTTTTAAAGAAACTCTTGACGCAAAGTTGGAATTTTGTTGGAAGGCTTACGTAGGTAGACTTGAACTCGGGCCATGTCCCCTTGCTCAATCGCACCATGAGATCAACGGTGTCGTCGTCATTGAAATAGCCTGGTGCAGGATTGCTGTAGAAAACACAATGAATGAATTTAACAAATGGGGCAATATATTAAAATACTGACTGGGACAAATGTGTTGACACTCGACATTGTCATCATGGTCACGTTGAAAGCTGAAAATTACAACAATATAAGTCATTACTTACAAACAATTGTGGTAAAATGTCTTACTCATGGACACAAGAGCCATCGCTGGATATGCACAGCTACACCACATTGTAAAACATGCATGCAACAAGTATGCAGTGTAAAACTAAAAATAAAGAAGAAAACCCCACTTAACCTTTGGCCTTCAGCTTCAACATTCCTTGGGCACAGATCCCATGCCAATTCCATGGTGCTGCCGAGCACATATATTTGCTAAGCACAGACAATATTTGTGTGGCAAAAAGCAGGCTACCCGCTAAAAAGTCATTCAATGTATAAAGCTTGTGACCGAGTCTCTGCTAATTTCTATTTAGCACATTCATGTATATTTCCTATTTTAAGCCCGGTTCATACTTCACGGGAAAACGAAAGCGAAGCGAAATTCGTGGCGTCAACAATACATTCGAAGTGCGTCCACCATTGTTGACGACATGAATTTCGCTTCGCACATGCTTTCGCGTGAAGTATGAACCGGGCTTTAAGCAGGTCCTTGAAATTGGGTCCTGCGGCACTGTGGAATATCCTGCATGTTGGGTGTGAAGAAGTGTGTCATTTATAACACTTCAAGCACAGATTCTGTATATCTTGCTTGCCCGAGAGCAAGTCACATAGCTTTCGTTAGTTTTACTATCTTGCTGTTTTCAGCCAAAAAGACTATACAACGGCTGCCTGTCTGAAAATATACTATACAGCTATAAGCATAGAAACCAACGTAGCAACAATACATGTAGGTCTGTTTGTGCACATGTGCACTTGTTCTACATAACCCCGAGGACAGACACATAAAGGGAGAACAACAGATCCTTTCAGTCCTCGGGAGTTGGGTCTTTTGCTCAAAGCGGTCCTCTGTAGTAGGTTTGTGTGCTTAGTCTATGGAAAAGTGTTACATTACAGGGACAAAGGGAAACACAAAGCATTGTCCTCATGAGTATAGTAAAACAAGAGAATGTGTGCATAATAGTGTGCGCATTGTGCATATTGTTCCCGTGCACTACAGAGTTGGGTTCAAACATTTCATGAAGGTGTAGTTTGGGAAAGTGTAGGTTAATTGTCAACTAATTTCACATATATTTTAAGTGAATTTTGCTTGAATTAATTAGCTATCATTTAAAATCGAGCAGAATCTGTGGGAATCAGAAACTAGCCTCCCTCGGTGATTCAGTGAGCATTCGATTTCCCTGGACTATGCCTCAGGAAAACAGAACACTCCGTGGACCACCTCAGGAGGCTAGTTTAACCCCTTAAGCACGGGTTATAATGGGGACATTCCTCCACACATAGAGCAAGTGGCCCGCATGACTGCACAGCCTTTGTGTGGTAGCGGGACTGCACAAAAGCAGCAGCTGTGGAACTACCCACTAGCCGTGTGCCACGGCATACCACAGCTGGCAACTGCATTCCAATGAGGATTAGCGGCCACGGCCATGACCGCTTCCCGGGCCCATGGGGTTAACACACCACTCGAGGCAGTCAATATTTGTATAATATACCGGTACTGAGCTATCTTTGGAACAGGGAAACTGAGGGACTATACTCATGTTATTCTGAAAGCCACTGAACCCACCTGTAGGTCTCAAACTCGACAAACCGGCTGCCGGTTGACCAGATGACCTCCAGGTTGAGCCCGTTCAGCACTGTGATGGTGCTGTTGTACATAAACACGACCAGGTCATCTATGCCGTCGTTGTTCATGTCTACCAGCTCCGTGGGAACAGTCACACCCTTGCTGGAATCACTCCTGCCAGGAAGCAAAATGCTTCTTGATTTAGATTCCATGCAGAAACTGCTCTCTTGGTGGTGAAAGTAGACAGATCTATTAGGCCCCAGCCCACTTGTACAGGGTGAGCCCAAAAAAAGGAAACCAAAATGGCGCCCCCTATTTTTATAAAAATTTCTGCACGTAGCGCGTTCAAAATATAGGATGTAAAAGCCCAATTAACAAGCTTTATTTTAGTAAAAGAATCGTTTATATCGCTCATGTACTTTTAAAGTTATGGACTTTTAAACACAAACACCATTTCATAGCTATAGCTACTTCTGTTGTCGGCATATTCCCATGTAGTTGTAAACGTTGAAGACCTAGACAACAGTTCTAGACACAAGATTTAGACATTGCCCAGCAGCCAATTTCACAAAACAGTGCGTAAGTTATGCCATGCGTAGGGCTTGCACAACAAATTTATTGCACAGCTGTGCAATATAACTTGCGATTGAACACCATGTTCCTGGCAGGGTTTGTGCACCAACGCGGCCATCAGGAACGAGTCGAACACCATAACCATGGCATTCTACCAACTGAGCTACACGTATCCACCCTACTTTGACAATATCCAAAACTGTCAACATCTTTTTTTTCTCGGAGCACTTGTCAGAAGTCATGAAACCAATACACAGGGAGTGTTAGAAGAGGATCTTGCCGCATGTGATGATGCTACCAACGCGAGCAATGCTGCAAACCTGAAAATTAGCAGCAAGGAATCTCTCAGAAATAAAAGTCATTCACAAGTAATCATAAGTCCATCACAAGTCATCTGATCTCAAGTCATAAGCTATTCAAAATGAACCGTAACCAAGGCATCCCTTTTGTCATTGTCTGTCCTCCGCTACTGTTGGCCTGACTTGTAATTGACTTGTGAAGAACTCATTTATAAATGAACTCTGGGAAACTACACAGCTTTTCCTTCTGAAATCCAGCTGGCCTTCATACCTGATAATCTCATTGACACCGCTTGATAGAGTCTGTACAGGCGTTCCCCAACTCTCTTCATATCCCTTACTTTGCAAGTGAGTCACGTGGGACAGACTGTTGGCACTGCACGTTGTTATTGACATCACGTAGCAGTACAAGTCTCGCAGGGAGATGGTCCATAGTGAACCTGTATAGAAATCATATTTTCAACAATTTTTACCTGGTATTCATAAATACCTAAGACAGTTTATCCTTTCATATTGGTCGAGAGCCTGTCACATGGCCGATCTTAAACACATGATAAAGACATGGCTAGCTGGTCTTAAACACTTTTTCCAGTGTCACATGAAATTTGGACTCCTATGAAATCCAGTGCTTTTTATCGTTTTATTGGTTAAACATTCACAATCTTCATATAGGCATGCACAATACTACCAGTGGTTCAATATTTCATAGTCCTAAATTCACACCTAAGCGACATCGCGCCAATCTCCGTAAAAGTAGTTGCTTACATCTTACTCGCAAGTTTGACACTCCACTGTAAAGCTTAAGGAGTGCCCCTCTCAAATTTTATTCAAGAGACACATGCCAGAGGGAAATGTAGGAAGTTTGGCAGACAGGTGGTGGTTGTAAATTCATGCCTGTGCTTGGTCAAATTATCGAGGGGCGGGGCTTAATCTATTAGGGGGATGATGTACCTGCAATAGTTTCACCCCCTGATCCAAACAGCAAGTAGACAGCTCCGTTGTGCCTTGTGTAGAGTGTTATAGCTGAGTAGGTCTCATGCTCATCAGGTAAGGACAGATATCTGCCCAGGCTTCGTCCAGTCTTGCCCGACAGGAGGAGCAGCCTTCCTGCTGGCCTATCCAATTCCTGAAGAATATTAACAGTAGGCTTCAAAATTGACTGTCAGCAGAGTCTGCAGTGCCTTAGGGCTGTGTATTTCTCTTGACCAACTATAGTGCGGCTTTCATTGGACGGCATGAGAGAAAAACAAATCTTGTTGAAAGCCGCGCTGTGGTTGGTCAAGAGAATAAAAGCTTTGCTAATAATCACTGTTATAAATGTGCACATGCAACCGTTGGCACACCTACGCTGTGAACTGATGATTTAAGTTGGCAGAATTTTCTGCTATAGTAAGCACAACTTTTCTGCTAACCCTGTTAACAGGCATGCAACTTTTCATTGGATCCACTGATTTCCTCGTTTTTTCCCTTCTCATTAATGCCATTACAAATTGAAAATTACTGTAAAAAGTCTTGTGTGATTTGGAGTTTCCTCGTTTTTTCCTTCTAAATTTCCAGTTGCATGCCTGTGTTAAGTAGTGCCAAGAAATTGGCCCAAGCTCTAGTTGATTGGGCCCTGTACTCTTCCTAAGCACATAGCCTCAAAGCACATTTTGGCCATAGACTGCAATCAGGTGCGGTGGAAACCAAGGAAGGCAAACCTTTTCGGAGAACCTGGTGTCGCCACCGTGAGTCACCACAAAATCTTGGACGCCATCTTGATCCATATCGGGTACAACTTGACCTTGGTAGAAGTTGAAATGAGGATTGGTCACGCTGGGATCGGCTGACCACAGAATCACACCTGTTATTTTGGTTTTAAATGGAGGAAAAAAAAGATGAAAGGCTAGTAATCATTCTCTTGCGGAATCACACATCTACTCAAAGGCATGTTTGAATCGCAACATACGACGTAAGAAGTTTCAGCATAGTCCTTCACACTTACCTTTAATTGGATCAATACCATGCAGTGTGGCCATACGTCCGGCCGCTACACAGTCCATATGGCCATCTTGATTGATGTCTAGTTTCCCACACTGAATGGCAAATACTTCCACTTCGGTATATATAGTCCATAGTCTGGTGCCATTGCGTCCATCTAATGCCATGATCAGTCCCGCACATGGATACTTCATATCTGGATAAAAATAAGTTAAATTTTGGAATCTCCTGACTTGATATTTGACAAGAAAGAAATGAGTCATTTTTTCATTTTTTTTATTTGTGCACGTTATCTTTCTTTAAAGTAATTATCAAAGCAAGTACCATTATAATTGCCACTGGAGTGAACTAAAACATTTCAATGCAAAACCTGAATTGCACTCAAAGTGACTCACCATGTTTTCTGCAGAATTCGATTTCGCTCTCTATGTCCTTTAATGAGGATGTGACGGCTGCCCCAAGAATAACATCCTCGATGCCATCTTGGTTGACGTCGTAGAGACGCATTGCAGTCTCTGTGGCTAGAGGGCAAAAGTCGAGAAATTGATCAGGACTTGATGATCATTTCCAATAATTTTTTTTTTACATTTTTGAAAGACAGACAAGTTTTCCCGACACGACTCTTAGAAAGTTTGAGTAAATTTTGGTTTACAAATTACATATGACGAGGCCTCGCCTAGCGGGCACATCGGCTACACAAATTCCCAGTGCTCTCCCAGGTTCCCACCCCCAAAAAAACCCTGAAATTTGCTGCTTGCCAAGGAAGTGTCTATTTAGTATATTTTTGAGTAATTAATTGGAAGAGCACTATAGATGACTGTTTTTTACTTCCCTTAACCCTATGGCTTTATAAAATCTGAATAAATTACTAAGGAAAAAAGAGCGCCCTCTAGCGTCCAAAGAGCTCCAAGCTCCCCCCCCCCCAAAAAAAGTTGTTGGGTCTGCCCTTTTTGCCCCCTCGTAACATGCTGGTGCCCCCCACTATAAAAAACCTGGCTACGCCACTGCGGCTACACTGCGAGTCGCCCACTTCGCAGGCAAGTCACCTGCTACGAGGTATGAGTCGCCTGCGCAATCACCTGCTTCAGTCAATTTTGGATACTGATCAAGTGATCTTAGTCCCATGAATATTGATGTACAGCCAACCAATGAAAATACACTAAAGTACATCATACCATATTCATAAGTGGAAGATGTCCATCCCAGTCCCACTGTGTTTTGTGCCCTAGGTCTTATCAAGTACAGAGCACAAAAGAGCAGCGCAACAACGACAAGCACAACGAGCAGACAGACAAGGCAGCAGCATGAGGAAGGTGGACTATTCCTCCGGTCCCGAGACCTGCGAGTGTCCTTGTAGAACTCGATTTCCTCCTCCGAGTCATATCCATTCTTGGCCGGCAATAGACGGCCATTCTGGCTACCCTGGTTGTCCAAGTCAAACAAAAGGTTGTCTTCATCAAGATCATCGTGGTGCTCATGCGTTCTTGTTATGGTCGAGCCCGATGGAAAGAAGGTATCAAGTGGAAGACGCTCATAGCGCGGTTTTTTTCGGGATCCACCTGACATAAATTACAGGAAAATGTAAATTGTTAAAAACATGACACTGCAAAAGATTTCACACATTTTGAATGTATATATTTGGAAAGAATGTTGCAACTTGACTCCACGTTTTCGTCATATATAATCTCAATAAAGGTCAGTTGTTGCAAAAATGTTGAAAAAACACGAATCTGGGACTGAGAAACATTTCCAATTTTGTTATGTTAAAAAAAACTTCTTGACTTCTTGACTCTCCATAGATTTTGTACACAACTGGTGTAGGGCTGTACATTGAAACAGTACCCGAGTACCCGACCACTGATATCTGATTGTCAGGAACCGGTTCCAGATTATGGACTCGAGTACCCATCCATATATATACCGGTACTTCACTAAGTAAGTTCTCAGACAATCATGACAATGAGAAAGAAATTAAAAGGATTGGAATGTCATTTATGGGGTATTTCCAAAATGAAAACCAGGCTACATGAAAAAACAAAACAGATTCGCATTTATGAGGTAGAATTAGAAACTGATCCAGTGATCATTTGATCAAATTGCGCACTACCTGACTGACATGACTGATGACGAGTAGCATGAGTAGTGCAACAGCAACATTTGGCATGTTTGGTAGTTGGGGCCTATTTAAAAGTTCATAATTGATAGACCTTGGCTTAAACTTTTTACTTACCATTAAAAAAGGAACCCATTGCTCCCATAGGATCGGAACAGATAACGTTCAACTTCTCGCTTGCAACAAGGAATTTCCAATAGTTTACGTGCACTGCTAGTGAGTGCTACGCCGCAAGCGTTAAAGCATTGTAAATTTGTGTGGATGTGACTAGGATGTCATTGGCGTGTGGCTGTGGTACGTCGTGTGTACGTGTTGTGACACGATTTATTGAAACTTTCGTCCGCCGATCTTTCTCTTCTTTCTCGCCCGATTGATGACAAAAGCAGGCTCAACATTGAAGGTTTTCATAAAAAGTAACTTGGGTGAATCGGTTAGTGGTAATCATTTTTCTGAGTTTTCTTTTGATCGTGTTGATTAGTTGCGAATTGCGTTTACTTGTTCACGTGCCAGTGTATACTGAGCATGGACTTCCGGATTTGAGAGCTAGAGACGTCTGTCGAGGACCAGCCTTGTTCCCGGAGTCTACTTCATTTCTACGCGTTCTTAATTGTATAGTGTCGAATGGTAGCGTACTGCCCGATTGTCATGGGTGCGAGATTGTCTGTCCGTCTAAAAGGCTTGCTTTTTGAATATAAAAAGGATCGAACTTAAAACAAGCCTGTCTTTCCCCCCTTTTTTAAGGTTCGTACTAACAAGCAATCACTCGATTCTCGATCTAAGAGCGCATCTTATTTTGAAAAAGTTTAAAAGCGTTGGGGACCGGTGAGGTCAATAAAACTTAAAAGTTCCCCGTGACGACGATAAAGTTTTTTTCTGGGAGTGGTTCCCCGATAAAGACTGGCACCACTTCGTACAGCAAATTTACTACGTTGTTCATTATAATGGTAACATTAGGAACAAGGCAGCCAACCACGCTATTCTGCGCGGAGCTGGAGCTACTCATGCAGAAACATCTGTGCATGGAGGAAGGAAAACAGATTATGTATGATTAAATATCACCAAAAATGTTTCGATAATGCAATTTATACTAAATATGATTTATATTTTAATTGTTTCCAATCAATAAATCAAAAAAGTGACGAGCAACATTTTGCACAAGATTTATCTAGGCGTGTGTACCCTTGATATTTTCCATGACGTCACGAGATCAAGCTAACTGCGTAAAGGTGGTGGTGTGGTGTTTTTTTTCTCCGTAAAACAGAATTTTACTCAAAATATTTGATAGTTTACCGGAACCAAAATAAACATGTCTGCCCAGGAGCAGATGCGTAAAATGCTCGACGAGCTTATGGGAACAACCAGGAATGGTAAGATTGTAGGAAGAAGGATAAATTCATTGTTTTATTTGTGACCCAACCATGCCAACATTCCGTAGTTTCAACGTTTCTCTTCTTCTGTTCAATTCTAAGTTGGGCCATGTAGAAAACCCATTTGCGAATTCGTGCCCAATTACTGATTAAAAGGCAGCAGTAAGGCTTGGCCATTGATTATAAAAGTGCAGAAGAAATTTGTTTATAAAAATCAACATTTGCATCAGTGTGCATTCTCTCTTTCCAGATAGAATTTGAAAATTCATGAGATTTTTTTTTTGCGCTTTTTGCAGTCCTGCTTAGCAAGCTGATTTATTTTGATCATCAACGTAAAAATTGCAAAAAATGGCTCCGTCAAAATGTCACGGCAATGAATGTGAAAAGTCATGCAGTTTATATGTGGAAACTGCCTTTCTGGTATTTAGGGCCGATGGAAAAAAAAAATGTTTTGAGACAAAGCAAGCAAAACTGCATGATTTTGATAGCATTTTACTGTTCTAGATAGAATAGAGTACACTGTAAATAAGTAGGACAACAAAATGGAGCTAAACCCTTTTATTTACAGCTTTCTTTGGCCCGTCTGTTGTAGGATCACAATGTTTGACAGCATCAAAAGAAAGTGTCTTCTATTACGACAAGCAGTTGCCGTGAGTTGTTCGTTATATTAAAATGTGTTCTCGTTTAGGTTGAGGAGTTACATGTAACCTCAACTCCAAAACAGTGATTTGTTACCGACTTTTGGATGAAATCTGAATAATACTTCAACGTTGAACATGTATCAATATTTTTTTTAATACATATTACTAGTCTAATTAATCTCAGTGATTAATATGTTACATGCATGTATTTTTGAAAAAAAAATTAAACTAGTGAATTATCTTAAATTATGAAATTGAAGAAATTTTAACTGAATGTGTTAATTTTGGTTCTTACTGGCTGAAAATACTTTGTTCTTTGGACATTGGTAAGTTGAAATCTTCCTTTTTAGTCTTCATGATGTATAGTGTACATACATACCTAGTGAATAAAATTTAGTCAGCCTCATTAAATCACCTTCCCCCACCTAAGGCAATTGACACAATAAAGCCAATAAAAAAAAACTTGATATAAAATTAAAGCTTAACCCTAACAGTCCTGAACCCTCAAATTTTAATGTCATTTATTTTACTTGGTCTAGGGATTTAGAGTAAAGGGTATTAAAAAAAATGATATACTTCCAAAGTGCTTTTTCAAACAAGTCAAATGTTCAGTTTTTTTGGTGCTTTTTTAGAGTAATTGTTAAGTCTTCCAGGTCTGAGCTACACGTAGTTACCTTTGGTATTTCAATTCTAGTGCTAATTATTCTTTTCCCTAAAAAAACTTGAAAGCTGAATAAGTTTAATGGCACAACTTCAACTTGAAGAAATACATGCTGTTTACATGAAGGAAACCCTTTTGGAACAAGTAAATTTTCATTTTATGTAGTACTTAGTCAAGTGTCATAGACCAGCAAATATGTTTTCGTAAAGTGCGTAAATAAATTAAACACATTCATAACAAAATAACTTTTTATACAAATTGGGTAAATTATGCAGTGGAATTTATTTGTTTTCTATAAAATTGGTGTAATTCGATACACACTTTAAAATTGAGATTCACAGAATTTAATAATTGGAAACGTATTGTAATTTAAATTGGGAAGTCATTTGCTGTAGAATATTGTGAGAACTTAGGAGTACATTATCAAATAAAGCAGAAAGACAAAGCACTGGTAAGAGGGTAAGCTTACCGTGTGCATTGCGCTGCTCTCTACGTTCTTTAACCTTGTGAATTTATTATGCCAGGTGGCTAAAAAAGCGTCATCTTCCGTGCGTCAGGTCTGCCAAAGGACAGCTTGTAGCGTTATCCGTCCAGAGAGATTAGCCAGAAAATCCACTGCTTTTCCTACACTTTCCGTGTGTATTAAACAATATTTTCATTGTACAATGTAATCATGGATTACGGAGAGTGCTCTGTTGTGAGTTGTGACAACATCGTCAGCTAGACTGTAGCTTCTTTGCAACATCTACATGTTATTAACCAATTATTTGAACAGCTTTCCTACAAGCTGAAACGACAATTTGAGTATCTTTGATAGGATCACTGAATGTTATCTATCAGTTCTTTGGAGTTTTGAGATGAGTTCAACTCATTTGAAAAATATCTGAAAATGTAGATATCAAATACTGTCAACGTTTTAAAATGTTGGAAAGTTGAAACCCTATAAAATCAAAGATGAATTGAAATAATTCATAACGAGCATATTATGTGGAAACTAGAATTTACTCCAGTCTTTTACTCAAAAATCTGAGACCTCGAAAAAATGTGCATAGTTATTTGTCAGGAGACAATTTCTGTTTATGCGCCTACACAGTTTGCGTTCAAAAGCCTAGGTCTGGATCCCTGTGTCATTCCTATGGTGTTTTTGTTTTGTGTGTGACAGGTGAGGAGGAAGCCATCAACCATGTCAGCTTTGAGAGTCCACGGGTCTGCCGTGCGTTCCTGCTCAACGCTTGCCCTCATGATATCCTGGAAGGCACGGTATGTTGATGTGTTTGTTTGTTTGTGTTTGTGGGTTTTTTGGCTCATTTAATAGTTTCAGGAATGATTCATGCATGTCAACCTAAAACTATTGGGAGCAGTAAAGGTAAAGGGTAAAGGGGACGAACCTGTGTTCACAGGAACGGAGTGCCCATCTCTCTTTCATTAGCGATTGGGCCAGACTCGTATGCTGCTGTGGGGGGATCGCCACAGCGAGTCTGTTACCTTCTTAGCATTGAACAATGCCGGTACCCATTTAACACCTGGGTTGAGAGGAGTAATTGAGGTAAAGTGCCTTCAGGGGTGTGATTTTTCCGGATTTTTCCGGATTTTTAATCTAACGTCTGCGGATTTTTTGTGCGGATTCCGGATTTTTAACGTTTTCTGTTTCCGTAATAATATCGCCCAAAAACTTCTGGCGAAATATAGGCTCTAATTTACGATAATGGATGGACTGCTGACAAGTCTAATGCAGTGCGGTCAAGAACCTAATAGACATTAATGCAGTATGCGCAGTGGAGTACTTGAGGACCAGACTACAAATAATTTTCAATGGGTTTGCAGCACCTCGTGTTTGTATCGCGTGTGGATGTGTGGGGTTATTGTGCATGTACTGTGCAGTGACGATCGTGTGCTAGCAATTCGCAAACACATTGGTGTCAATATTGCCGCGATTTTGTCAAGGAATTCAAGAGTATGGCTGGAAGAACTGGTAATAAAGTGTCACTGTGGATGGAAATCAGTTTGAGCTGCAGTAGTGCTTTGAAAAATAGCCACCACCAACACAAAATTTCAAAAATGTTTTGGAAGCCTGGGACTGGAGTTTAAATTAAAGTAAGATTAAACTTTTTCAGCACCGTTCATATTGTTTTGTGTGAATCGTTTCTCTCTGCAACATGCAAAAGTAATAACATCACACACAGAAAAAGCCTTTATGAATCAATCACATGGATTATATTATTTAATGACCAGACGTTTTTTCTTAATTTTTCCCCCATTTGTTTTCTTTACTGAAGCGACAAAATTTGCTAACATTACAGAAATTACAGTACATAAAATGTACATGCCCTAGGCCTATATATGGACATACGTGCATGCATATGTATACATGTACATCTATACAAGTACATGTACAATAATACATGTACATGTACATGTACGTGTATATTACATGTCAACCGAAGTTCGTGGATTTTTCATTTTTGTCCAATCACATTCCTGGCCTTACTCAAGGGCACAACACGCATGGCCACGGTGGGGCTTGAACCCACAACCTCTCGATCACGAATCCTGTGCTCCACCGCTAGACCACACGTGCCCTAAAGCAGTTACATGGGATTAACACTAACCGTCCTCCATCCTCCAAGGTCCTACGGCGGTTTTGGAGGATTTTTGGAGGATTGAGGCTAAATACAACTTACAATTTGGAGGATTGTGGAGGATTGAGGGCACATGGACTTTCAGTATCGGTTGATTTTGGAGGATTGAGGCTGAATGGTGTTTGAAGAAGAGGAGGATTTTGGCGGATTGAGGCTGAACGCATTTTCAGACGCAGGGCTAGGGGGTTAGGGTTAAAGTTCCATCGATTATTTCCTCATCTTTAGATTGCAGTGAGCCACTGAGATGAACGAGAGTGCTATCAAAATTTTGCAATGACTAACTATTTTGATATCTCTTCCAAAATTTGCTAATCATCGTCAACTGTTTATCAGCATTTTTGTGAAGTCTCCCCTTTAAGTACAAGACCATTGAATATATATCTAGTTGTGTAGTTTCTAGTGACAAGTGAATAGCCTTACAAGATTGACAGCTCAGCTACGTATATTATCATCATATTAGACAGCAACAGCTTCACTGATTATTTTCATTTTTTCTTTCTTTATTGTACAGAGAATGGACCTGGGTGCTTGCAACAAGGTTCACGACCCAGCGCTGCGTGCTGACTATGAAAGCGCCTCCCAAAATAGGGAATACGGCTATGATGTGGATGTAAGTAGCTTTTTTGTTTTGACGCTTGTTTTGATTTAAGTTCCCCTTATGAGCTTGTTGCAGAAACAGTCGTGGGTGATGTGTGCCTACTACTCATGGTAGCCATATAGGAGTAAAAATGGCATCTGAGAATCTTTTTGGTCTTTCAAACTCAAGCTTGTTGCAGTTTCAAGTGGAGTGACTTTAGTTGATGGTATTCTGACTTTTCCGCCAATGGTTTTACGTGGACGCACAGTGGATATTAGCTTGTTTTGTTGGGGTTTTTTTTTATTGCAAGGAGCTAAAAGACTCTCTGTATTTAAGCAACAAAAAAGTCCACCCTAACCCTGCTCAATCCAACAAGATCCAACTATTTTACTGTTTTGTTGGGTCCTGTTGGATTGAGCAGTTAACTTCTTGTTGGATTCAGCAGGCAACTGAAAAAAATTAGATTCAGATTCTGTTGGGTACCGGTAAATAACACCAAGTTGGACTCTGTTGGATCCAGCAGCAAACAGAAAATAAGGCGCAGTTGGATTCTGTTGGATTGAGGACACCAATCTTTTTACATGTTCAGGTACCCAACAACTTGGCAACTTTGGTTGTGTGGGACTGTGTTGGATTGAGCAGGAAACTCATATGAGTAACCGTCGGACTGTGTTGGATTTAGCAGGGTAGTCCTGGGGAACTACTAGATATACAGTATGTACAGTTTAAAAATGCACATCTCCCATTCCAACATGTTTTTCCTTTATAATTGCCGACGTTTGTTTTTAGGCTATGCAGCAGTTGAGTGTCTTCATTGCTGAGTGTGATCACCGCACAGAGATTGCCAAGAAACGACTGGCCGAGACCCAAGAGTCTCTCAGCCAAGAAGTGAATTCCAAGGTACTTACTCTATGTTCATGTTTGTAGAATTGCAAGTCTAGTTTTTAAAACAAACTATTTTGGCAATATTCTCATCAAGAAATTGTAACCCAGTTAAAAAAAAAAGACAAATGATTCTCTTGCCCCAAAACAAATGTCTGTGAGTGCAAGCACTTTTTATCATGTTTTTGTCAAAACAATGACTTCACATCGTGATAAGTGCTTTCTGAATAAAAAAAATAATAGCTACGAATAATGTGCACGAAAAAGCCACATGTTCCTGGTTTTGTGTTGTTGCAGTTTACAGAGAGTCAATCAGAAAGTAGCTAACGACAAAATGTATTCATTGCATTTTTTCATACACTATGTACCTTGTTTCTATTGAGAGTCCTGTCAGCTTAAAACCAAATCCATTTATGTGCGATTTTTTAATGCCTACACGTAGACTGTTTCCCGGCCCCCCTTAAAAATATGGGGACCGGTAGCTAGCTCCCATTTAAATCCATTGATTTGATGACCTCTGCGCACGAACAGCATGATTGTTTATTTTTGAATCACTATTCAGTTTTGCGCATGGACGAAATTTGAACACATGGTTTAAAATAAAATTGACTCTTGTATTTACCACAAAAAGTACGCAAAATTGCCAGTGTGGCCATGAAGGCAACTTTCAAGCATTTCAACTGAAGAGGTTTTAAATGCTGAACAATGATGCCCCTCTCGTTATTGATATTTGCCAGAGACACTTTCGAATCCAGCAAAAATGGAAGCTCATCAACTCGGAAATTGCACATTCGTGTGACCTGTTACCATTTTGCAATAGGCTGGTTGCGCGCAAACATTGCCCTTGTGATTTTGAATTCATATCAGGAGGCGGGTTTCGGACCTATGCATGTCATGCATATAATTTGCGTACATTAGGAGAAAAGCCTCGTAATGTATTCAGGATTCACTGCTAGCTACCTGTCCCCATATTTGAAGTCCGAAGGACAATGGGGACAGGGAACCAGACTAACGTATGAAGAGAACAGAAGTAGTGGAGCAGTGCCATCGTTCACACCAAAAACCCACCCACCCTTTTTTTTGTCTTCGCCTCCCGTACATGACTCTCAATATTGCCATCATTCTCTCCTTGGACAGATGCAACCCCATGCCAACAGCCCTCTTGCTAAGCAGCCGATTGGGTTAAATTGGAGGGATTTATAAGAGGAGTTTGTAAGTCAAAAACCCAAACAAAACAAACACCAAATAATTGTTGTCCTGATGATGAATGATGATGTTGTGTGACTATATTGTATTAACTATCACCCTGTGGTCTCATGTGAAGAGCATTGCTCTCGAACTGGTCTTGCCTAGTTTCGCAGTAGCTATAGTGACTATTAAAAGTTGAAGCAAAGTTGCTGAGCTGAAATTTGTTTATGTTGAAGTGTTGAATTTCAAATGCCCGAATCGAACAGCCCCGTGTATTGGGTCCACCATAGCAGGGAAAACAAAAAACATCAGGAAAGTTGGCAGAAATTTTGATGGAAAAATTTTCTTGATGCAACAATTTCCTGGGCAGCTTTGTGCGATAAAGGTCACAAAAGGATACAGTTGACATCATAAATCTTCTGTGAATTTCTAGTCTGGATTTGGAATAGAATTTAAATTTTTTTTTTTTTAAAACACAGGTTGTCCGTGCTTTTAACAAGAAAAAAATGTTTAACTCAGTAATGAGACAATATATGCAAGGTCGGGAGAAGTCAATTTGATAGTGTCCCCCAAGAAAATGTAAACCAGTGTGTGTTAATAATTTGTAGTGAATGGTCCGGGCGACTGAAAAGTAACATGCGTTGTAAGGGCACTGAGCGCGGTACTGATCGCAAATGTCAGTTGATACTTTGTTTATGAAAATACAAAATAAATAGCTGCTGCTTCTAATAAAATTAATACAACTTACTCAACAGCAGCAAGTGTCACCACAGAGGGTTAAAATTGGACAAAAAAACAATTGTTAAATACTCTTTATACCTCCTCAGGACAAAACGAAATGAAGCATTTTGAAGAAGTTTAAACTGGGCATTTACGAGATAACATTTTATAACGTTAAAAGGTGAAGGGGACTGACATTTACACTCAGTGCTAAGCCAGTGGCTTGAGATTATTCCACAGTCGCCTGGATCACACTGCCTACTTGTGCCCTCTTTTTAACACTTTTTTCCCCTCCCATCTTGATCCTAATGTCTTGGCAGGCAAATCGCGTCCATCTCCTGGCCGAGGAGATTGGCAAGAAGCTGGCTGATGCCGAAGCCATGGGAGAGAAGGGAGACGTGGAGGAGTCTATGAAGATCATGGCCGAGGTGGAAGAAATCAAGAAGAAAAAGTTTGAGGCAGAGGTGAGGCTGATTTTGTTGATTGACATCTTATGTGTACTAGCAGACATGGGAAACTTGATGTTACAATGCAAGTGGGGAAAAAAACATTAATTTTAACATTTATTGTGTCATGTTGCATTGAATTGTGGGATCAGTACTCTCTCCCCCCCCCCCCCCCTCCATCTTGATTTTGGTGCGGAACAAGAAACTTCTTATAATTGTGAAAAAAAATTGAAAAAAGATATGTAACTTCCAAGCCGCCCATAAATTGAATTTATTATTTAAGCTTGTTATAAAAACCTGACAGTTACGGCAGAAAGGCACGCGTACGTACACATGTACATAAGTATTGCTACAGGATTCCATTATGAACAACCCCTCCTAGTGTCAAGTGTGGGCCCCACAAAAACATTTTTTTATGAGGCTGAGGGTTTAAGGAAGGTGAATGAATTGGAAATAAAAAACGGTGCATATGGCTTAACATTTGAAAGCAGAAAATTGTAGAGAGCACTTTGGTTTCTCCTTCCCCCACCCTCTTTTTTATCTGCACGTGCCCTGCCCAAAGGGCAACCAGTCATTTCAACTCTGTTTTCATTCGGCCCACAGGAGGAGTACAAGAACTCAATGCCGGCATCCACCTATCAGCAGCAGAAGCTGCGGGTCTGCGAGGTCTGCTCGGCCTACCTGGGACTGCAGGACAACGATCGCAGACTGGCCGATCACTTCGGCGGCAAACTCCACCTGGGCTTCATCGAGATCCGAGAAAAACTGCAGGACTTGAGAGTGAGTTTTTTCCCCATTCCTCATGCATAATCACGAGGGGTACCAGTGTTGTCGTTGAGACCATCACAATTCCATTCCAAGCAAATCACAACCTTATTCACAAGTCAAGTCACAAGTAAATCATAAGTCCTACAAGTTATTTGGGGATGATCAGTTCAAAGGATTGCGGAATCTGTCGATACCCTTCCTCGAATGCAAACGATAGAAGAGGTCGTCTGAAATGCATGTTTTTGTGTAATTTGTGTCCAAGTAAAGACTTTTTAAACTGATAATCCTCCAAAAAGCATACCAGCAGCATGTATGATCTTTCATCTTTTGTTATCTTGCCAAAACCAGACCCGAGTTGCTGAGAAGAAGGAAGCCTACGAAGCTGAGCGAGCCGAACGGAGGAAGGCCCAGGAACAGGAACGTCTGGACAGAGAGAAGGAGCGAGAGAAGGAACGTAGGGAACGCAGGTCAGAAACAAAAACAGTTCATTCATCTGTATTCCTCTCCTCCCCCCCCCCCCAAGATTCCCTTGTTTGGCTTTGTACAAAGCCAGAGAGTTGAATTTTCAAGTTTTGTTTAAACCGTGCGGACTTGGTCAAGGGCTGGATTCAGATTATGTCCAAAATGTGCAGACAGTCCCTGGCAAGTGCAGCAAAGCTGCGTCGGTGATAGGGGACTTTTATCAACAACTTTTGATTTGCCTTACATAATTTCATTTCTTGTATCTTGTTGCCTCTTGACAGGAGGAGGTCTCGTTCACGTTCCGGTTCCCGATCAACCAGACGACGCTCACGGTCTCGCTCAAGGAAACGCTCCAGGTCACGATCCAGAGAACGCCGTCGCAGGTGAGTGATGGCACTTAGTTCAATTACAGTTAACTCTTGCTTATATACAAAGTGGGTTACAGCTGAATTCTGGGTGTAGCGAACATAAATCCTTGATTCCAACGGTAAAATTATTCAAAATTCTGATATGACAAACAGTTTGGCTAGGTCCAACTGATTTTGTATGTAATGGGAGTAAACCCATTAGCACCTGTACTACATTGTGTTTATTCACCGAAGAATCAATCGGACGAGGATCGGACAGTTTCGGGTGCTCCAGTGACTTAAGGTTCAGTGAGGGGAACGAGCGAAGTTGAACAGTTGTGAGAACACAAATTGTCTGATGTGGTTGGCAAATTGCACAATTAAAAGTCGAAGGTTGAAACAGTAATCAACAGAATGGTTAAAGAATCTGTGTAGAAACTGTAGATGGCGCTGTTTTCATTTCTTGCAACAGCCAAAAAGGGATACTTTACATGTTAGCTTCTGGGGTTTTTTACATGCAATACAGTGGGTAATGGGCGTGATAAATTTTCATCTAAATGTGTGCAACCCTGTAGCTTCTTTGAGTGTAAATGGGCGCACAACAGAGAAGGTGCACAAATGTAGTTTGTCTTTTGATCGCTGCACACATAGTTTTGCACTCGGTCGATGTTGACTTCTTATGTAATTCCATCGCGGACAAATGCAAACGGTCACTCAGTTTCTTCACTTTTTTGCTTTTGTCACTAAGGTCACGATCACGCTCCCGAGACAGACGCCGCAGCTCTCGCGACCGAGACCGTCGTCGCGGATCTCGCTCCCGGGACCGCCGTCGCAGATCACGCTCTCGGGAACGCCGCCGCCGTTCTCGCTCACGCTCCCGTTCTCGTGACCATCGTCGCAAATCTCGCTCTCGATCCCGCGACCGCCGACGCTCGTCGCGGGACAGAGATGAGGAAAGGCGCAGCCGACGTTCCCGGTCTGATTCCCGTGAGAGAAAGTCGCACTCCAAGTCGGAAAAGGCCGAGTCCTCGCCAGCACCACCAGAACCGACCAACGAAGAGGAATCGGCTCAAGACAAGAGTCCAGGAGCCGAGGATGTTCCCCAACCAGCAGTGGAAAGCCCCGAAGCTGTTTCTCAAAACGGAGTGGATAGCCCTCCGCCTAAAGACAACACCTTAATGGAAGAGGGAGAAAGAGGTGATAGCCCTTGAAAGAAATTAATATTCTCACATGTCTTGTTCTCGTCTGTAAAGTCGGGAGCCAATTTTTATTTGAACTTCTGATCAAAAATGTTCATTGCGGTACAGAGAAGCTTTCAATAAAGGCTCTGCTGCATAGACAAAAAAAACAGGAGTTTAATAGTATTTGTGTGAAGTTAACTCCTAGTCATTCTCCAATCCTACCTCATGCAAAATTGAATTGGGCTTGACATTTCCTATTTTCGGCTCCTAATTTTCTATACATACATTTGATTTTCGGTTCACTGAACATTCTTTTCCAATCCTAGCTAGCAAGAAGGGCAACCTCTTTTTTTCTTATTCAAAAAAATAATACAGATGTAAATAAAAAAAATTAATGGTCAATATTTCTTTCTTTTTTAAAGTTGAGCTCTGAATATTCGCATTCTGGTTAGTGTAAAACAGTTTTGTTGCTCTATTTGTAAATGACAGCCTTTTAGATTCCTCTAAAAAAAACACAATAAAGCCCCCTCCCCCAACAAAAAATAGATGAATTGTAAAAAATAAGTGGCAAAAGCCTTTACTTGTTCCATTTTAATGTTTGTATCTTGTGATGTGGTAATTCCTTCCATTAAAAATATCACTGACTTAATTAAACCTTTGAGATGTACCAGTTTGTTTGGTTTCTGTTACCGTTTTTTAGCCTTCCCTTGATATCAGAACGTAAATGGAGTTACTACTCGGCTGTGCACAAAGTGGTGAAAATTTGATGAGAAATTTCAAATGGAAGGTTGTGCACCTTCTCTGTAATGGATTATCAGGCATAGGAGTCTTTTTGAATAGCATGGTGAGGTCTTGCCATTAAAATCTGAACAACAGTAATCTAGATTTCTGTATAAATGTGGACAAAATGGAAGAAAAAACGGCACTTGTAAAGTTACTGGCCCCATTCCTATGACAAAGTTACTGGCCCCATTCCTATGGCAAAAGCATTGATTTGCATGACATCAACTGGAAAATGGGACAGAAAGTCACATTCTTTTTACTGTTCAAATAATATGAATATGGTCATAAGAGGTAAATGAAGATTGTGTAAGGTTACAGAAGTCATTTTGGAATGAAAAAAACATACCTGGGACTAAAACGAAAGAGGGCCCCATAACTTCACTAAACTGAAAGAGGGCCCATAACTTCACTAAAACGAAAGAGGGCCCCATAACTTCACAATGGCCAAAAACAAAATCATTAATGTGATGGAAGTATGTGTATCTCATTCCAGCTTATATGTTGTTAAATTTAATGTACACTTGTCTCTTCTGATACATGTACTACTCATTCTTATTGCCTTAATCGCTTACATTTTGCAGATAATCTGAAAGAATTTTGTGATTTCATTTAATTCCTCTTTTATTTTGGTAGTCATGGAAACTGTTTTGACCTTTAAAGCATGTGTAATCTGTATTGTACTATTGTTATGCCCCTGCATTTTTGTGTTTTTATAATGACCTCCCTTACCTTAAAATAAATTGCAGAGTAAACTTTCTGCTTTCATTGTTCAATGTTCATACATGTATATAATACTAAAATTGGCCTCCTCAGCACAAATGATTTGTGTTCAATAAACGGACATTTCTGGTTAGAAGGAAGGGTATTATTGTCATTTTGACTGGTTTATCAGTGTCAAATATTTTTATTCTCAATATTCTGTGCGAAATTCCCCTCTTGTTTTAAGTGAACATTTCCACAAAAGGTGGTTAAATGGAGCTCGTTTTCCTCCAAATGTTCTAAAAAAAAAACAGGTCTGTGAAGTGATTACATGTACCTAGGAACGTCCTTATTTTATAATCTTTCAGTGTATACTTTAGCTTGCAATACGATCTAGGACAAGTGGATGCTGTGTCTTCTTTAAAATAGCCCGATTGTTAATGGCAGCCATTTTGGAGGTGCAGTGCTTTTGTTTGTTACCTTGTGCTACAGCGCCCTCTATCAAATATGTAAGTGACGCGTTAAAGGGGCTCGTCCTGAAATCTTTCATGTTTTAGATTATCCTATTCCAAAGGTCTGGTTGAAAGGAAACTAACCTAATGTCCATTGCTCCTGAGAAAAGATGGGGGAAAACCGGTTGTTCACATCTGACGTGGCGAATATTTTGTGGCATTCGCATACGCATTCCAGCCTTAAATAATGTTCCTTCTATGGACGAAGAGTTGCCCCCAACTTCTATGTCCCATGATGTCAAGACAGTTCTGGTAGGTACACGTGTGTGTATTTTTACGAAACGCGCAACGCGCGTTTCAAATGTTGCGCTTCCAAAGGAACATGTGTGACCAGAATCAGAACTACGTTTAGCACCCAAACAGCCCGATTTACTGGGTTGTATCCGTAGATGCTCAGACTTGAGACATGTACACGGACTTTGCAAATTTTCTGTAATGACGTATAGGCGCTAGCCTAATGATCCTTTTTCTTCCTTGCGATACCCGTGACATACCCAAGTTTATAATGGGCCCATAGACAATGCTTATCTTGCAAAATAAGTACTAAGAGGTCATAGGCCATTCGTTGTAGCTTATCGATAATGGATATTATACTCCATACTTTATTTCCTACTTGAATGGTATAACAGTATCGAAACCACATACAATTTTAATGACATGTTTTGACTTTAACGAAACCCCTCCACCAACCCCATACCGAGATTTAATATACAGCCACTAGGCACAATAAAATAACCTTTATATCTAGTTTTCTATAATTTACATAATTATATTGTAGTATTCTTGAGGTTTTTACGGAACTTAATGCTATATGTAACAGTGCTGTAGTCAGGTTCTTTGCTGAGATCGGCAAATGCACTGAAATATAATGTACCGAGAGGAGCTAATGTACAAATTTAACATGGTTGGAGGTTGGATAGTTTTGAATATCCACCAAACCAAACCATGTTACATTGGTTTTAATATAAGCCTCACATAAATTCACCAACATTTCGTCGAGTAATACTTATCAGTATATCGTGGTAAAACAAAAACCTTGCTGTATATATGTTGGGATAGTTCTACGATTTCTTAGTAAAGCGCATGCGTAGTAGTCGGCTGCGGATGAGTATTTACCCTGCACGCGAATCCTCGCGTGTGCCTTTGGTAAATAGCAAGTGGTAATTGCCAATGGACCAGTAAAGAATTTAGCTCTTGCTTATGAATTTATAGTTTTGGTATAGTAATAGGAATTTCACCCCAAAAGGTAGTTTTGCCCGAGTATCTGGGGCTTGAATCCGAGTCCTTTTGGCGAGCGTTTTGCACATTTCTTAGTTGTGAGTCCAAACACTCGTCTCCTACTCAGTCAGCACAGCTTTAGTAATGAGGTTGAATAAACCTAAGACCTAATGACGTAATCGCATTGTTTACATATGCGCTTTCCTATGGGAGCGAAGTCGGGGCGCCAGACGAAGTAGGGACCGTCAACCACATAGAAAAGCGCACATGTAAACAAAGCGTGACGTCATTAGGTCTCAGGCCTATTCTTGATAGATAACCTTATTCAGAAATCGGTGGATTTGTTGAACTCGGAAAAGAAGGCTCTACTACAACACTGGCTATCAATACGAGCTCAGAGCCAAAGAAAATGACTCTCTAAAAAGGTAACTACTTTTAAAAATAATATGCACACAACCAGTTTACAAAATTTAAAAAATGAAAATTTTAACCCAAACCCAAAACTATAAGAAAAAGACGATATGTTTGTTGATCCGAAAGAGATTTTATATGTCACCGGCTACCCAATCAATTTTTTAAAACAAAAATCGGGGAATTATATAGTTTGATATTTTCTGTATGACTGGTTTACTGGACGCTTTTTTTGCGTCGTCTTCTCACAATTTTGTTTTTGTTACAAAAACTGTCATTTATAAATACATAACAGAGGTATGTTTAGGGTTATAAGTTATAACAACTTATTTTTGATTTTAAGAGCCTTGAAACAAATATTAGACCGGTCGTTGGATTGCACCAAACTAATATCAAGTTGGTTGGACACTTATATTGAAAAAAAACTGACTATTTTCGACATAGGCCTATATATAAGTAAACCGTGCATTTCATTATTATTTCCAGGAAAATTAGTACAAGCCTACTGCTTTATTTACAATGAAGCTTTAAAAGCTGGAATTGATAACGAATATACGAATAGAAAATAACGTTTTGGAAAAGACTCATGGATCCCCAAATCCCCATTAGATTTATATTTTATTTACAACTAACACAGATACTAGTGTTTGATAAAATTCGCTTGTATTGGATATTAAATCAAATATAACACAATATACCCTCCTCTACGACATCAACTCCACTGACGTGCCTAAATATCATTACTACTGTGTATCTACAAACGAGTACAGTCGCCAACTTGGAATAGTTATGATTGCGTATAAACAAAATAGCAAATTACAGACTACACCGCATTAGTTATCCATATTATTTTTGTAAATCCACACGTTATCAAAGTGATTATATAAGTTTTACCATTACAAAACAACTCTATCATCTACATAGATTTCAGTGAAATCGCCGTATAAAAAGTGCTTTTTGTTTTGAGAATTGGCTTGGGTACTCCATGCTTTTCGTCGCTATAGCAAAGCGCCCTCTGTCGGTATCAAGGATGAACATGCAGACAAGTGCAGTCATTAATGTTTGTCATTTTGTTTAGACAAACGTGGAGTTTGATGTTTCCCTCATTTAACCAGAATTTCGTCAACTTTACCTGTGTGTACCTGACACGTACCCGTACCAAAGTTTGAGGTTATGTTGTATACCTTCTATGTTTTACTATGACAGAGAAACTGTATTTGTCACATTCCCACATCTGGAACTAACTTGTCAACCATGCCACTTCGCCAGATTTCATGAAATTGTGCTAATGAGCGGGAACGATTTTTTAAAACCCATCAAAAAAGCCGGAATGATGTTCCCAATTTACAGTTACCAATAAGACATGGCTTAGATTAAAGTACCGTCGTGAAGACGTAGGTTAGCTCAAGGAACCAATTTCCATTGTATGCATGACATGTAGATACAGGATTTCCAATGGGGTAGGCCAATTTGGTTTTCATTGTATACCATTGTTGAAACTTTTATATTGCTAATCACTCATCTATTTCTTTTCTCTTTAAAGTTCCTTTGATGATAAAGAATTCCTTTTTTAAAAACTCTATCAATTTTCCCCATCGGAGAATTGATATAATTCATTACTTTGATCCACCGATATTTTCCAATACAAATACAACGGTATTAAATTAATTTTCATAAAAGGTGTAGTATGCAGACTATTGTACCGAAGCCGGATGATACCTCCAGGATACAGATTGAGCATTGAGCTGAATATACATGTTCATTTTTTGCGTTATCTGGGCAAATCTGGCGGCCACCCAATTACTGTCTGGCTGCCGCCACATATACTTACCATCTTAAAATATTCACCCTGCCCAGTGGTACCGTCAGGCTTCCGTAGAATATGTTAACATACTAGTCTAGTAAACCGAAAAGTCTCGCTATATCATAGGCCCTAAGTCTTGATTTCGTTTCCACGGGAAACCAGTATATCCCAAAGTTTGCGAATTGCATATTAGTGATGGGTAGGGCGCCCACAGAATTACTGATAAGAATTAATCCGGGAATATCTGGACGTGATTCAAGTCCTTAGTGGTTGAATTAAGTACTTTCCTGCCAGTTCTATCGTCTAAGTTGTACAGGTTTTAAGCCCGGTTTCTGCTCAACGCGATTTAAGAATGCGAGGCAAACCGCTGTGAAAAGTGTAATGGTAAAGTATATTTTGTCCTCTGTAGATGAACGCCTCACTTGGTGATGTCAAAATTTCTAGTCGCATTCGTGATCAGGTGAGGTATAAAACGGCGCTTAGAACTGGTACATTTTGTGTATTATCACCTTTCATCATGGAGCTCATGCAATTCCATGTTACTGTCGTGCTATAAACCCAATTCCCGTACCGACTAACGACTTGAATCACGTCTGTTCAAAAACGAGATCTCGCGTGGGCATCATTTCGCGCCCTGGCCCTCGCATTCGTCCATGGCGCCCAAGATGACCTTGCACATGAAGGTGTAGGCCAAACCCCAGGCCTCTTTGGCCTTTGGCGTAAACTTGTCCCCAAGTTGTTCGGTCATCACGTCCAGAAACACCGGTCCAAGGTCCTATATAAGCAACAACAAAAAAACAAAGAAAAAGACAAAGCTTTATACTGCTGGTAGATTTACTTACGATAATTTATGTTAGATATAATCTGTAGCAGTCTGTCATTCGGCCCCAATGTGCACTATAGATAGGGGCGGGTGACGACATCCGATGGAAACATCTATTCATTTGCACACTAATTTTCATCGGTTGCTATGTGTTTACCATTCAGCACTCCAGATTCAAGAACCATTGAGTTTCAAGAACATAGGTCAGGGAGCTAGATAAGCCAATGTAAAAACTTCCCGGATGTCTGCGCCCACCTTAACTACATAGCAAAGTCATTAGGTGAACTTAACAGTCAAATACGTTTTGTTTTAGTCCATACCTGTTCATAACAAAGTACTCGTACTTGTTCTCAAACCCATTAAGAATACATAAGTATTTCTCGAACCCTCGGGAAAAAAATCAGGGAATTCCTACTCATCATTTTGTTCATTTTGTACTGATATTTGCGCGAACTACATGTACATGTACATGGTGTACATATGTTGTAACGTAATCAACGAGTACATATTTATCAATGACGTGCCCGCTAGAGTCCGATTTGCAGGGGGAGGGACCTTGTTTTCTGGAGGGGGCACACACATTTGTCTGGGTGTGGGGGTGTGTGTGGTGTTGTTTTTTTACCTCCGCCAGTCATCGGCGTTGGTTTGTCTGTGAAAAGGATAACTCAATATGAATGGATTTTCATGATTTTTTTTAGGGGTGGTCCTTAGTACAATTAAAATCGATTAGATTTTGGAAGTGATCCGGATTAGAGTCTAAATGCAGAATTTAAAGAAATTTTCTTTAATCATATGGAAAACTTTCACCCTGTGTGACACTGACCAGGTGACTCTGTATGCCTTATCACACACCTAATCTAACCACACAGGTCAATGGACTAGACCATTTTATACAATGGGGAGAGGAAAGGTAGACCAGTACAGGCATATACATGTAAAATGTTTAAGTTTCAAGATTTGTTCTAGAAACCACATTGGTGCTGTATGTAATGGCGGGAAATTGTTTAGCCTTGGCGGAGGTGTGCGCTCTCTGAGTGCTTTCTAGTTTGTTTTTGTTTAACAGTGAAATGGTCATTTTCAAATCTAAGCACGTGGAGGGGTTGGCAAAGAAAATGTGCTGGGGTAATGGATGGTTTTCAAAAGGCATTCCCGACCCCCTCCACCCACAGTACGCCACTAATATTAATACAGGCATAATTGTACACGTAGTCAAGTGTCCGAGTATGCATCGTACTGAACACCAATTCGTGTCCAATCGATACGGTATTCTCTAAAACGCGCAAGCGGCTAAAAATAGAAACGAACTGTAGAATCAACAGGTGAATGTGACGTTACTATAGCAACCATAAATAACAAGGTTACAGTAGATTAATGTGCTTGTCACGCTCTGCTCGCTACCGACATCAAATAAATGAATAAAAAACAAATAGAAAGCACAAATCTGCGAGCCCCAGCAGGTTGTTCTGTTCGTCCTGTACCGCTCCAGACACGCCACTTTATGATCCCCTCTGCGGGGAACTCACAAAAGCACTCCTCAAGAAAATGTTACCCAGTTAATACCTAAAAATATCTTCTTACCGAAAAAAATAATATCGAGGCCAGGCAAAAGCCGTGGGAACCCATTAGATCCTCTGTTAAACCGATGTGTTCCGGATTTCTTTTTCAAACAAAATCCTGCTCTAATTTGGGGAGCTAGGTGGTAGAATTTGACTCAACCTGAAGCACCTTGCCACTCGGCGGATCGCTATTGCTATTTGATTTTTTTTTAGTCCGGATATCGGCGGGAGAGCAGTTATTATTGGCCCACACGGCAAATATTTTGGGCTAACTCGGGAAAGAATGTGATAAAATTGGCACCCCGCGTGCTCGTTACTCAGAAACGTCAGTGTCTGCGGTTTGTTTTTTACTTGATACTGGACGTTTTAGACAAGTAATACATACAATTCAAGCGTTGACAATGTATAACTTTTTGAGAGAAAAAAATGTAGTGAGATTTTTGCTACTACCAGACGGTCAATCCTGGTTTCCTCTTCGTATACCTATTATGCTGGGCAGTGCTGTCGTATAGGATTACCTAATAACGCCAATGGACTAAATCCGCCCATGGTGTAGACCAGATGTTTGACAGACTTCCAGTGAATAGCTAGTCTGAATCAATAATTGAATAGAATGTTGTGCTCTTTTGGCCCAGCTTCATGCTTAGTATTGTTCTGACTGAAAAAAAACTTAGCTCATTTGATAATAATTATCTAAAGTCTGGATTGCAAGGTTGTATCGGCGGGACACCGTGAACAAAGAATATAATTGGCATGCACTTCTCAGGAGTCCCGGCCCGGAGCCAAGCGGCCATGGGAGCGATCCAGCACAATCGAATGACCATTATGTCTCCAACCAGCTCGATTTTCCGCGGGTCTTATACGAGGTCCTCTGTCATCCGTCCAGTCCATTCTTTGATGTCCATCCAGATTCGTCTTGGACGTCCCCGCTTCTGGCTGCCCTGACAATTCCCTCAAGCATGGATAGTTTAAAATCAACAACTAGCCAAACAAACACGAGGATGGACGTTATAGAACCGAGGAACAAAATGTGAAACTTGCACTAGTATTGGTGCCATAATTAACCTTACTTTGCTCTATACACAGACAACCCAATCAGGCCGACCTTTAAACAAACATCGAGGTTTGTAGGTGATACATTGTTGCGGGTCTTCCTTGCTTTGTGCATAAAGTGACTAGGACCAGAAGAGATTTTACAAAAGACTATACGGCAGGTACAAAGACGACTAGCACATTAAGCACAAACTATAATGACCGACAAACAGAATATCAGTTGGAATTTTGAGTCCCCCTCCCGTAGAGAACATCGACACCTGTGGAAGTCTACACTTTGACAGGTGTGTGGCGTGGAATTTATTCTTACGCCACGAGTAAAGCCTTGGGTAGTCCCACTTAATGCGCGGCGTGTTATTGTAGTTCAACTCCAAACAATACCAAAGACTTGGGGATCAAGTCGGGTCAGGGTGCATGGGTAATGACCATGACTGTCTTCCTAGGTGGTAGGTGGCTATTTACTGGAGGTGTGAAGGGCCTGAGGGGTTGATTATAGGCTGTCCGTCTGTTTGAAGTCTGAGTGTCTGTCCTGTTCAGCTTCCTGCGTTCTTGGTTGGGTGCTTCGTAGAGCAATGAACAGTGTTTCTGCAGTATGGCCAAGGCTGGTAGGCGAGGTAGCATGGTAGGACCGTTTGATGGCTGTTTACAAAATAGTCTTTCAGGAATCCTAAAAAGTGTTCTATAGGTTTGTCGTCACATCATATAGGATCGTACGGGTGGTCCTACTTGGTAAAGGCCAATCGGTATGGGATCCTATATAGGAACCTGTAGGGGATGACCGTCAGAACCTTTAAAGATAGACCACGTACCCTGTGACGTCATGCCGGCAGCATTGCAGAAGAGAACCGTTTGCTGAAAATCGGCATCACGTGACCGCAACATCCAGTTTTATATTTTAAAAAAAGTCACATGGTCTTTAGGATTCCCATAAGCCTTACGTGCTTGGCGGAGTGGTTTCTTTCCTTCACCATTTGCGGAGTTGATTAAACACGCACGATGTTTAGCTTTAATTCCCCCTTGATTAGTAAAAACAAACGCACAGTGATACAGTTTTTTAAGTTTTGGTCAGTTGAATTGCTGGCTAGCTGTCAGCTACTTCGGTAGCTTTCGGACACAAGACCTAAAGACCACCTTGATTTGGCCGCCGGCCGAAACCCCGATCCGTTACACGTGCAAGGCCCGCAGTGTACAAAAAATGTATACTGTGCTTACACAGTGTAATATTGTACGCGCACACGCACTGCCTCCATGCAAATCCCGGCCATTGAGCTACATGTTTTAATTACTAGAGCGCTGACTCGATGTACAATGTGATGCCTGCTATACTGGACGCATCCATGTTTGTGCACAAACCTATGGAAAACTTCTTTTTCTTTTACGGCTTTTGCACGGCTTTACTTGCATATCTGCGTTTGATTCTATGCAGTTGCGTTATCGAAAAGCGAAAGCACAATCAGTAAATGAGCGCCAATTTTGCTCTGCGCAAACAACGCAAACGCGTGACCAGCGATGCCCGCATGCTGATACAGCACAACACACAGCCTTGCAATCAAGGCTAGCCGAAATCTCGTAGCTTTGTCTCTGATCGGCGCGTAGTCTCCGTTCAATTCGCTTTGCAGGTGGCTTCGCTGCTCGACCAAGTTACTGATTCGGACCAGGGGGACTGGTTAGCTAGTTTGTGTAAATAGGTCGGCCATCTTGCTGTGTGGTTGATTGCGTGATTGGCGGACTGATTGGCCTTTTTTCCCCAGCGTTTGTTGATTGGTCTATACTTGGGCTGATTCGCCGTTTTGGCCTACTTTTCGGATGGGTTTGGGACAGGTGATAAATCAGCCTTGTGATGGATGTTTTGACTAATCTGTAACGCAGTTGTTGAATGTTGTCAATGGAAAGGAATTTCTGGAGCCTGTGGGCCTAAAAAATAGATTATCTTCAAAAGCCAGTGTTAAAATGGGTCACATAAAAGGCTGTATTGACACTTTTTCCGACATAAAATGAAAGAAATACTCGTGTGAAACAAAATTTAAAAAATAACTCGAATACATGTATAGTACAGTCAACTACTATACTCTCTCACAAAATGGGATAAACAGGTCAACTGTTATTGGTAAATTTACTTTCTAATCTAAATTGGCGTGAACTATAATGTTACACTGTTCAATTTAACTCTGGCCCTTGTTTTAGAGCCTGAATTCTGTTAAAATATTTTGCCTGCAGGCATTCGATCGAAAATTTATATTGCCGACAAGGGTCCAAGGTGTCTCCAAAACAGCAACTGTGTTATTTCTTTGTGTAAAATGGGGGCACAGTGCATACGTCTTGGCAGAACTAGTCCACGCTAAATCATGTTTTGTCTGTGACAGGAATTCTTTTTTTAATACACCACTGATCGATATATCATTATCGGTGAATTGAAATAAATGGTCCTCGATTGAATTAAAGATCACAACACCGCCGCCTCGTATAGACTAGTAATCCGCTAAATGCATTTTTAGCACGCAACATTCCAATTCCGAACAATTCCGAACATCCCGAACTACAAAAATGCACGCATATTCTGAAAAGTGGTCTTTAACCCCGAGTCCCGAACTTAGTTTTACAACCCTTTTTTTTTTTTAGAAATCATCATCTCTCTCCGTTAGTTAGTATCAAGTGTTGTTAGTTAGTAACAAACGTTGACATTGTCTATTGCTCCTACATAATTTTGATCGAATTCAACCAAACTTTTTCAAAAGTATCAATAGCCCAGCCCCAACATGTCACATGACCAGAACTGGGGTCAAAGGTCATCATGGGTTCAAAAACCTGATTTTTTTTTTTAAACTCTAAACACTACTTCCAGAAGTAACATGGCACAATTACGTGACTCATGATGCATGAACACGAATACTTTTGCCCGCAGCTTCCGAGATCAGATTGAGCTTGTTACGGAGACATAAAAATGCACATATTGACATGAAGTATGGAGCTCTCAATGTAAAGTTTGGCATCTTTTACAAACTTGTCCATGACCATGCACCTCAGTCGTGTGATTTCGAGAAGACTATAGCCGTATACGTAAAATAACGTTTGGGTTTTATTGGATTTTCTTTTTAACCACAATCTGCCCTTAAAAAGCACCTTTAATTTTTAATTGAAAGTGCAGCAGATTTGTAAGCCTATAATAATTTGTCAAGGGCTATAGTTCTTGTGTAATCTGTCTAAGCGAATGTTTTGAATTCCGGAGGGGGTGTGCAGGGGTCCCTCCCAAATCCAAAGACATTATTTTGCCGGTCCAATTTGTAACCGGAGGGTAAGGCTTTACCCATCCTTCTTATCCAAACACCCCGCCGGAAAAATACCGTCAGCTGGCAAAGTGTTCGATGATTGCTATATGAGTACACGGCTGTTTAATGTATGAAGTGGGATTTTTCATTTCTGTCGTATTTTATCATGAAGGATTTTTTTTTCGTATCTTTCCATTGTTCCCTGTCCTTCTTTCCCCTTACTTATTGCGAGGGTAAGTGATAGAATTAGACCTTAGAAAATGTACAAACATTTCCATCTTTGTCCAATATTTTCTCGACATTCTAAAAACTCTACATTCAGTTTATATATATTGAGTGCAGCAACGATGTTGGTGAGGGCTCAAACGTTAAAACTCAGAAAATAATTACCCCGTTCGCAAACTCTATACGGCGCTATAATGCGCTTTAAATATACACACGAGATTTACTACAATGCGCATGCGTACCTTCAAAGCTAAGTGAGATGAGCTGGTTCCCAGTAGGCCTATATACCTCCAAAACAGAAGAGAAACATGCACTTGTTTGAGTGCATGACTTCCTTCGTACCAGCCATCTTTTGCATTGCGTATAGAGAAGGGTCTTTGTGTACGGAGCAAAAAAATGCCATTCTCGGTGTCGTACGAAGTCTGGTTCCTAGTCAAAGTACTTAATTCTTTGAGTAAGTTCGGGCGGTCATCGGATAATCCCATGTTTATCGCTAATTTGTATCTCCATCCCTTGGGCTGTATGAACTTATTTTGCCGTCTATTATTATACTATAAATTACAGTTTTCTGCCTGAAGTTGTTTTATTACCAAGACATATATTAAGTCCGAGAGCAGGGAGTTTTCAAATTGCTTGTCACTTCGGGGTGCAGCGCTTTCTTCGAAACTTGGTCATGCCACTCAAAATAGTCATTTGCATTTACTCCCAAATTAACATACCGGATTATCAAGAATACTTGGATCAAAGATGGTACTGGTACTAAACAGGGTGACACTACTCCGTCTGGCTTGCTGTGGAACATATTGTTTTCTATTTATAACTTATATGGGTTGATTGGACTGGTATTGGGTTTTTAAAGGATGGTTGTGTGGAGGTTTATATCCTACTTTGAAAGGCTCGTTCCAGTTAACATCATTTCGTTTAAAACGCGTTTTGTTGCCCAACTTGGCGCATTCCGGGACGTAATTCCCTTTAATCTATCTGTATGGATAATAACGGACACCATAAACGATTCTGCCACTTGTTGCTAAACTTTAACGCAAACACAAGTGGTTTTGACGCGGCGCGATGGCCCTTGAACCATGTACCAATCGGCCGAACACAGCGGGTTAGCGATCTATTTCTACTGGGCTACACTCAGCCTGGGCCTAGCTCTCTGCAAGCCGTCATCATAATATCCCTCTTGTACAATTTCACTGGTCCGTTAATTCGGTGCTGTGGGCACATCACGTTGATACTGCATCGAGGTGGAAACACCGCGGCCGTTGATTCCAGCCGCGGGCCTGTAGGCCTGTAGTTTCTGTTTCTGCACGCACGTATGTAAAGTCCCGTCTATATAGAGTTTAGGGAAATATCGCCCGACGAAATGGACTGGAATGAAGTGTTTCATCTCATGGAAATTACGCTTTATTTGCCGCGTAATTTAATTTAAGATCTTTGGGGTGATTTCTGACCCTGAAGAGCTTTGAAAGCACGCATAATGCACATTCTTTTTTTCATTTTGAAAAGAAAGTCACGTCGCTATTGAGGGATTTGTTAGCGTTTCAAAATCCATTACAACTATAGTAAAAAAAATAATAAATAAGTGTACTGTTGAGTATAAATAAATGTTATAAAGCAGCGTACTTAAATAGCAATTCACCCATTTAAACGCTACATAAAAACTGCTCTGAAAAAACTGCGATTCTGTGCATGATATCCAGTCAGTATAGGCCTATAGTGGTCAGTGGTCTATAACGTAGTAAAGATTTACTGTAGCACCATAATAAAAAAGGGGGGGGGGAACTCAGGCTCTTTTACGATCTTTGATCATTATACAAATTGCAAAAACACACATGCGTAACGCCATTGCCAGCGCAGCGGTATGATAAAAGATCAAGGAATAAAAAAATAAGGGGAAAAGCAATTTAGATGGGTTTGAACAGACGCCACAAAAAATCATTCAAGTACCACTGATTTCAAGGCCAGTCGCGACGACTGCACACGCGCCCACACCGAGTCGTCCATTCGCATGTTTTAAGACGTCGTGGTCAATCCACTTTTACGATGTAGTCACAATTGACGTGCGGGTTGTCTCAACAGAAAGGCTGCTTGATTTTTTATATGAATTGTCATTTAGCGGGTAATTCTGCCCAGAAAAATAGCCATAAAACAACGAAATTCAAGCAGCTATGTGCTTCATGGGTACCACTCCAGGAGACTGTAACTATGGAAGTGATGACGTCATGATGAGACGAACGTCACCTCTATCAGTGTGACAGTTCCTTGTCGTGGAGTCCATTGCTTTCGTGTCAAGATTCTCATCAATTCATTGTTTGTATCAATTGAGAATAGTGAACATTTTCTTAAATATTCCGAAGAGGAGAGTTTGGTTGAGCCTTTGGCTTTGTTGGGATACGTCAAGTGAAGAGAGTAGCCTACACCGTTGCGAATAGTGTTCAGTGAAAACCAGCCACTTTGAAACCAGTCACCTCTTAAAAAAAGTGGGCGGCGAATCCAATTATTAGTTCATGGCCACACGATGCACTTTTTTTGGCAGGGTGTGATGTCTTTTCAATATGACAGAATGTAACCTATTATTAACCTATACACATTTACAGACTACATGATCACATTTTCTCCAAAAAATAACGTTACGTACAGTGGCCACATCGGATTCCAAAAAACGGCTTACGGGGGGTCTGGTTCCAGACCCTTCTCCCGAGAAATCATGTGAAGGTTCTTTCTCTAAACTTCTAAAGTCTATCAGAAACAGCACTCATATAGCAAGCCAGCACTGGATAGATAGCAACATGCCTTTGGCAGAAGTTGCGATGGTTGCCCCGCGTCTCCCCCTTATATGTTGGTATACCCATGGAGCTATAGCTCCATGGGTATACCCAGTAACGGCCCACTGCAGCCTGGACTAAAGGCCGAACCATATACTGGAATTACCCTTGAACAGAATCTTCAGAAACGCAATGGACGATGGTATAGAGCTTAATATTGTCCCTTCCATCGTTGATGAGCTGTATTGTACACAATATCATAGTTTGACCGTGAAGACGATCATGCGCCCAAGGAAATGAGCTACCCACAACTTGCTTTGCAACGATTGCGTTTCCTTCACGAAGAGATAGCCAGTATTACAAAATATTGTGATAAACGGACACTGGCTCCAGTTGATAGGGCGATGTATACGGTATAGACCAATATTCGGCGACAACCATTTTCTGAGGTAGTACCGGGCTCGCGCGAGTCGCGCTCAGGTACGGTGCCCCTGAAAATGGCCTGTAATTTGTTCGCCAAATTAGTACATTCGAGAAAAATCGGCGTGCGATTCTGACCTTTCCTAGAATATGCACAATTTATCTCTTGAGGGCGCGTTAAAAATATTGCGTGTATATAGCTGGAAAGCAAGTTCGGGCAAGGACCATTAGTCGACTTGTAGTTGATTTGTGACGTATAACTTGCGCCTGCGCACTAATTAGATCGTGTGAACGTCTCAAGTCAAACGCTGGTCAAACTATCATCACAAAACTTCTGGGTCCTGGCTCCCTGCTGTACGTTATGAATGCGCGCGGCTATTGGTAACCAGCGATGCAAGTTGCAACCAACCTCGCAGTCCGGTTTCAAATAGTCGACTAGAGTAGTTCAACCGTCCTGCGTTCGAGTGAAGTCAGTCGAACTGTGGTTAGCCATAGTCCTTGCCCGAACTTGCTTCTACAAGTTTGATATAAACCCACCTCGAAGAAGTGGTGAGGCACAGTCCGGAGGCTGTGTGAGTAGCCCGTGTTCGTGAGGAGCTCAATGAAGATATCAGGCGTGTCTAGGTTCTCGACCAGGGAGCAAAAGGCGGACACCACCCGGTAGCCGTGGGCGCGCATCTTGGAGCTCTTCTTGAGGACCTCCAAGTCCGTCATGTCTTTGAGCTGGGCAAAGTGCTGCTGAGCGGCTGGGTGCCTTTCGAAAAACCTGTCAGTTGAAAAAAAAAAAAATCAGCAGGCCCGTTCCGTTACCTGAAACTTGGGGGAGGGGGTCACACCCAAAATTCAACGGGTCATCTCAGCGTGCTCTATGATAATTATATACATACACAAAGGGCGTCGTATTACATTTTGTTGTACATAGTACGAGTATAGACTTTCCGGAGTTGGGTACCGACAAGGGTTTTTTTTCTATTTCATTATCATTGTTTGTATCTCATTATCTTGAAGTTTATTTTATTTTAGTCTGGTCTTTTCTAAATTAGCAGTATGGCCAAAAGAAATTTTGGTAAGCAATCTTATATAGGGCATGACCGTGCTTAAAGCAAAGACAATTGTGCAGGGCTCGGATGTCACATGACAAAAATGAGTCTCTTCACTTTCCCTTTAGGCCTACTCCTCATTAATAAAATCTCAGGAAAATTTAAGTTAAAGTCGGTGAAATCATAGAAGGTCCTCTGTGCCCTGACGACATTTCGACTTGAAACCAGTGTTCAAGTCAATCTATTCTTTCGCATAAATTCGAGGGCCAACATCGTTCTCAAAGCAACAGTCTTTCCCTGATCGATACATCAGGCCCTTGAATATTTGTGATTTTACATTTCAGATCAATCCGCAGGAGCACTTTATCAGAGATGCTCTTTCTCAAGCATCCTGTGCTTAAGTAAATCCAATTCTTTCTCGTGTCTCGACTCGCAGTCTCGAAAGCTCCAAGAAATTTGAAATATTTTGTCCTTCGTATAAACTTAATGAAATTCCGACTCCCACAAGTGTCCCTAGATGATCTATTTCCCCACCACAGATCATTCCAGCCCCTGATTTCTCCCCGAGGACACCATAATAAAAGGACGGTTATGTTGAGTTGGAGAAAATATCGTACAATGAACGAGATTGAAAATGGGCGGGCAAAGGAAGAAGGAACCAAAATGAACATACGATGTGGAGAATCTATTTTCAAGACAGACTTGGATTCGTGATGATTTTTCAGGATGTGTGTGTGATGCCTTTGCCACTTGCCGTCAAGAATAGCCCTGTTGATCAGGCTGCTCCACCATCAACTCTAAATTGGCAATTATTTTCAACAGAAATGTTTGCGTTCCCACAGGGGGTACAGGAAGGCATGTCCTTTTTTTTTTGCCTTTGCAATAAGGCCTCCTGCAGACCAGCAGTGTCCCTGAAGTAAAAAGGAAAAGTGCAACAATTCTTTTGTTGGGTAAAGTTTTTGTCCATTCTGACTTGCTGGCTACTAGCCTCGGGGCATGTGTACAAGCCCGTAAATTGATTAGGTGGACACAAGTATGCAAAGTCAGTCGTAGTATTATATTAGCACACCGCTTGCGTACAACTGCACATCAGATGCGCGCAAAGATTTGTGTACGTTGCGGAACTGCATAGTTCAAGTTCATGCTGGTACTGGCACAAAAATTGCTAAGCACGGAAAACATATGCTGGGCAGAAAGAGGTTACCATCGAAAAATGCCACTCAGTATCTATACCGTCTTTGGCAGGTTTTCAGCAGAACTATAACTCGTAATACTATACATATTGTTTGGAAACATTGAGCGCCATTTTATTTGGGCTGCCGCGCAAGCGCATAAAAGCCGTGGTTGGCTTCATATTTTCCCAATAAAAGTCCTCATAACACCCTCATGTACATAAAAAGGCATGTTTAGGAATTATTTGTAGCGTTTGTTGATAATTTTGTAAGTTTCAACAATGTAATCAATAATAACTCTTCTTCATTTTTGCAGTTGGACCTTCCACAGTTTGGCAACCCGTGGTTGGCAAAACGTGTCTGCGATAGAAATGTCTATAAGGAACATTATTCGGCTCATATTGGTCTCTTCGTATTAACACAGGGCATACGACCAAAACTGCAATACATGACATACGCCTGCAGTGCACATAAAGGGTCGATGAAAACAATTTCTGTGTTGAAGGCAGCATTAGGTTAAGGCTAGGGTTGGGCTTAGGGAAGTTAGGGTTGGGATGTTGTTTAAATGGTTCGTTTCTGTTTTAAATGGTTCTTTCATCGTAGATTGTGATAGGTTGAAATGAGTTACTAAAAAGTATACCTTTCCAAATTTGAGTTGAATGTGCTCTATGGGACACCGAAGTAGAGAGAAATCAAAAGACACTCTAGCTATTTCCTGCTGATAAATTTAGCGGGCGAACCAGCTGGGTGTCTGATTTTCTTTATTTATAGGGCAAGGACGTCGAATTAGTGTTGATTCATTGTGTAAGACATGGTCGTAACTATAATCTATCACTGACCATAGCGACTCGAATCAAGTCTTGCACATCGGAAGCTTGCCAATTTGTGTAGTGCGCCATGCCAATTTGTTTTTTAAGGTTATAGGCAGACGACAGTTTGAAGCTTTTGATCGTCAGAAATTGACCACCGTCCGATATTCGAGTTGACGCAAAGTGGGTCGCAGGAACGCGGGGACTCCAAGACATCATGGGCCAGAATTATTGCACGCATGTGGTTTTAAAAATCGCTCGCGCTGCGCGCCACATTGTTGGCATTGACTGACAGCAATTAAGGCTCGAATTTTGATATCAGTACGAAATCGCAATTCCGGCAATTGGGCGTACGTACGTAAATGCAAGTTCCTGTTATTTATGTCTACGTGGAGCCTAAAATAACAATAGGCTATTAGTTGAACCGGAAAAAGGGGGCGGCGAGCCTATCGATCAATACGGCGGGAACCAAAAAAAAATGGCCGCATGTCAAAAGAGAGAGACTGTGTCCAAATCTGATGAGTGATGGTTGATTTGTTGTTACACACGGTGCTGTTTTAATGACGGGGCCATGTCAGTACTGCTTAGTACGATGCTTCAAGTTCAAGTTGTCAAACTAAGACTCAAGCCTGTGTAGCCTATATTTAATACGTCGACGGTGGTGTCCATCCCGGTCCGAGTTGTCACGCATTCACGTAGGGTGGCTGCACCGCTGCAGTTATTTTTGTGTGCATCTTCAGTTCAGTTACGGTGTAGCATGAATTTAGGTTTTATGAAATACGGACTCATTGGTGGTATTGCGCATGCTCATGCATAGATAATTAGGAGAGGGACCGGTTACGTGAGAGGGTTTAACCAATAAAAGGGGAAAAGAGTCCGATTTTCATACGAGTCCGATTTTCATATGACAACGGTAGTGAAAAAGGGCGTGCACTGTTTATGACAACTGAACTACCCACAATGCTTTGCGATTTACGAAACTGGTGAAAGGGGTCAGCGGTAGGGGGCGCCCTTTGATAGGGCTCTGGGAGACGAGCGAGTTATATAGGCTGCATTGGGCGTAATTGAAATTGCGGAATTAAATACTCACTTTGCAAACAGTTCCACTCCGAACTTGGTCTTGATGGTGCAGACGACATCCCATGATTTCTTGATCTGGTCCTTCTGTTCTTTCGTCAGCCCTGTTGCCTCGTCTGGCACATCGTTGTCACCTGAGGGCGCCAAATATTGAATTTCAACTCATCATCGTTTTACGAAATCAGTCGTCAAATTGAAGCTACACAATAAAAGAGGGCCAGTTTCAAACTATAGCGATTCTTCTTCGAAAAATGCCTAAAATTGGCGGACATAAACGAGTGAACATAATACGGGCCGGTGTTTCGGATAAACTGTTCTCGCGGGGAACTGACAGTTTTGGATTTTAATTGACAACATTATTGTCATTTGTATATCATAAATGTTCACTTGTCACTTCGTTTGTTTGCTTTTATTTTTCCTTTTGTTTGGTAGGGGAAACAGCTGGGTTTGACCAATGTGACTGTCAAAGCCATATCTATAATCTAGTGGTGGATTTGATTTGCAAGACTGACAAAAACTAAAGTGGTTGTCAATAGTCGCGTATGCGGTCGAAATGTACATGCAGCACAATAAATTTACATACCAAGGAACTTTAATCAAGAAAAGGGACCACTTGCCGAAACATTCCACCCATGTCTTCCGTGTAACATGGTATGTCAGTAAAAATATGGCGTAGTCTATATGAAGTATCCGATGACAATATTGCATTTCAACCGCGAATCGTAAGAAGTTTAGCCGTATATTAACCTTGACTTCAAGTTGTATGTCCCTCGGCTACAGAGTTGGAACTTGCATGTAGTGCACAATGGACAACAATCACAAAGAAAACGGCAGCATTATTATGCCGCACTTAGCACGTTTCATTTATGGGATACACAAGATCCGTTGGGGCCTGCGAGTCGACAGGATCTTGGTTGCACTGGGCAAAATGGTCGCGACACCGAACATAAAAACCCGAATGTCAGCTCTTGACATTTCCCTTTGGTGTCGTTAAAATTCGCAGACTAAGAAATCAAACCAGGGTTTTTTTTTGTTTTACAGGATGTAATACAGATTGTTTACAATGAATTTTGTTTTCGCACGGTGTATATCAGGATTTGAACAGACCACAGAACCAGGATAGAACTTTTAAAACTGCAGTCAGACTTGGAAAAAATCTAACTTTATTTGGCATTCGGGACCTATTGGGTGCAGCAACAAAAACTGTCAAAGTATTAGTTTGAAGTCGAATAATTGACCGAAAAGTCTGCGGTGAATAGAACGGGTATCTAGTCCGAGATAAAAAAAGATTGGTGTGATGTTCTCTGTGGCATCTTCTCACTTCGTAGCAAGAACTAAAGAGTCAGTTGTCAGTATTAGAATAGGCCTATATATATTTATTTCAGAGTGTGAATCGTTGACTGTAGAGCCGCCATTTTGGATATAACAACAATATTGTTGCTTCAAAATGACAAAATAAACGAAGTCACAAATTTCAAATTATAATTTTTTCACGGAAAACAAGGTTTGTCCTCTTCATCTCTTGCCAAATTTGATGTAGGCCTTCAACCGGATTGAGAAACGAATCCAAAAAACTTAACACATGAGAAACCACCACCTTAACGATTTCAATGACCAGTGTCTGCGCAGGGTTCGTTCTAAAGATATGACGTCTTTACCCTAGCCTTCCCAACACCGTCAAAACCCATCTTCCATTTGGGAGATTTTGGCATGCAAGCATACCAAGTCCATCAAAATCCACCTATAGCAGTGGTGGTCTTTCTTTGTGGTGGATTTCGGCAGATTTGGTTCTTAGCATTATGTGAAGCAGGGTCAGTGATGGATTTTGGCGGACTTGGTACTGTTCTTAGTAAAACTCAGTAGGGAGTGTTAATGAAAGAAGTACTACTACTAGCTATATCTGAAAACAAAAACTTGTGCAGGGCCTACAAAACGTTTCAGTTAGAAAGCTGGCTATCATAACTCTAATTGTACTTCTTTTTTCAAATAACATAACAGGATTAGTACACAACACCACGAAATCTGATGTTAACTTATATCGTGATTTGGTATTATTATGAGATCGAGGTACCATCCAGGTCAGCGTTGGAGTCTTCATTGCAATATCCTCCGGGTTAATTAAATGTATCCCGTTGCTTACCCACACCCAGGGTATACCTCACCAGGGTTTTATCCTGTGCCGACAAATTGTCAGAAATCACGGCGCGCGCGCGAGTAGTTCGATAACTTGACTCGCACGGGGGAAAAAAAGGTGCCCGTATAGTTCCGCGTTGCGCGATAGCAGGCAATAATATACAAGCATAATCTCGCAATAAAACAAGCGTTTGAGCGGGGTGGATCCCCGTGCCGATAGCCGTAGGCAACATCCGTTTTTACGGTGCGACCTATCGACTCGAAACGGAGCGATTTCTAATAATAACAGACAAGCACTGCGAGAATCGGCTGCCCTGGTTTTTCTGGGGAAAAGCTTGAACCGTTCTGGGGCTCATCGTATAGCTGGGTAAGCCTGGGTCTAGGTGTTTTTTTTTAAATTCAACTAAAGTGCAAACATATGCATGTTTGTTGAAATATTTCTAAAACGACTCACCCTGCCCCCGAAAAAAATGAAACAATCATTAATGACGCAATCGTCGCACGAAAAAAATGTTTAATGAAACGTGGTCAAAGTCTATTTAATTTGGTATAGAAGAATACGAAGAAGAGAAACAACAACCTAAAAAAAAATCAGAACAAAAACACAGGCTTTTCCGGTTGCAGTTGATATCGAGTTAAGAGATTCGATGATGTTGGCATTTGAAATTCCAAAATCTTGGCAACCATTTGGTTTTCCATGAAGTTATTTAGAGGAATTTTTACATCCTTACTGGGACATTACGTCCTGGAATGCCCCCAATTGAACTACAAAACGCGTTTTAAACGAAATTATGTTAATTGGAAAGGGCGTCTAAAAACTGGGCGTTTTGTGTTATTCTTGCGAGAACCATGCGTGAACGTATTTTGACTCTCAAAAATCGAGCTGTTGAGTGCTAGTTGTGAATCCCTGCCACAGTGCATCGCATTCTGCGGACGTACGAGAAACTACTTTGTGTATTGGTGCTGTGTGTATTATGAGTCACACACACAAGTACCGAACATTGAATGGACACGGTTTGAAATACGTATGCGAATGCCACAAAATGTCCGCCGCGTCCGATGTAAACAACTGGGTTTTCTCGTCTTTTCTATAGGTTAGTTTCCTTTCAACCAGACCTTTGAAATTGGATAATAAACAATCCAAAACATAAAAAATATCGAGGATTTAAGGCCGTAACGCCCTTTAAAGTCCAAACGTAGCTTTCGCATTAAATTTCGACTGATACCGAGAAAGACGCCTCAAAACACGGCAGTTAATATGTACCCCATGTGTATCTTGAAATTTTGCGGTTGGTCTAAATTGTTGGTTTTTCCCTGAGTGTATTGTCGCCATATACATCAATTTGTGGTTTGTGTTTCAGTTTCGGGAACTCTTCACAGCTGGTACCAAGTTAACTGCATCAATCAAATTGAGATTTGTGGTTTTGCATCCCGTAGACGTCACCAGTGTCTGGCCTTCCGTCGAAAGCCAAATTAAGCACAGCACTTGACTCCAAAAACGTTCCTTATAACAAGCACGCAACATACAAACCAACTTGGTGCCTTTGCCCAATATTGTTTGGTCACTGGTGACTGCTGCACGGCTTCAAGGAACACGACCAAGATGGCGGCGTTAGGCTTAAACCGAAATAGACAGGTGGTCAGTGAACTACAATATTCCTATTGATCGATCTAAATGAGAACGCAGGTATTTAAGCAGTTACATGGTTGTGTTATTTCCAACACCATGTTGTCAATTACAACTTCACTGACAGAAAATAATGAGTTTTTGACTGAAATAGTCACACTTAACTCTGAAGCATCCTTGCGATAAACAGAAGTCCTTCGCTTCGTAGTATTCATTTACCAAAAGAGGGACATTAGAGTTAAAAGAAGAATATTTTCTTTACTCCAGCAAGGTGATTCGAAAATCGATAAACTTTGTTCTTGTGATTGTGCATCTCATCGGAGATATGAAATTTGTACGTGCAGTGAACGACCTCAACATTCAATCAAAGACATTTTACATAACCTTTAAAAAAAAAGGGAAAGCCCTTTTTCAATCACGCTCGTCTACTTTTGAAATTGGTCTGCTTCCTCTAACCATTCCTTCGCATGTGAGAACTGATGAGAAAGGGAAAAATCATCTCCCAAAGAGAAACTTGTACAAACATTACCGATACTGCATGATGGTAGAAGAAAGAGAAGGAAAAAAAAGCGCATAATACGACATTTCTGGGTGAACGGACGATTAGGGATTTGGGGCCCAATATTATGGATCCACTGCGCTCGGTTTTTTAACGATTTTCTTCGTATGCGCGGCCACTGCCTTGGTAGTGCTGGCGCATAGGTCCTGACAATTCCAGGGTTCCTCGGTTGTTATTATTATTATTACAGAAATGATGACTCGAGATCGTAGACCGAGCTTTCTGGGAAATTAAAAAAGAGCGAGCTGCACCATAAACGGGAGCAAACTGTTGGGGTTCTTTTTGGAAGAAAAAAAAGGTTTCGTAATCTAACACCCAGTTCGTTTGGAAACTGTTTTGGGGCGTTGTCCCTCGAGATCAACAAAATCAAGATAAATTGCACTTGGGATTTCGTGAAATATTACCGTTGAAATCCCTGAATGCATTTCACACTGTTTTTTTTCCTGCAAAAAAAATGATGAAAAGCAATCAAAACAGTGGAAGAAGGTACAATTTGGTGTAGCAAGAGGCTAACAGAAAGACACTGATGCCGGTTTGAAATCACGAGGTACGTACCTCGCAGACAGGATACAGCTCACGAATTTTATAAAACTTCAAGTTGAAAGGTTATTGGGCTTTGCAGAAACTATGAGGTATAAGCCTACCAAACACAAAAACGTATACAATGTATAGACCATGTGCCCTGATGTCCGCCGGGCCGCGAATTGTTTTTCTCCCAAACGACATCCACATAATGGTGTACGCTATGGCGTTTCAGACTTCATTAAAGCATCTTTTGCATGCTATTTGGCCACATTAAACAACATTTTAAGCCG